TCACGGTGCAGCAGAAGGAGGCGGGCCAGGACGACTTCACCAAGATTCCGCAGGGCGTCAACGGTGTCGAGGACCGCATGGCCGTTCTCTGGGAGAAGGGGGTCGCCTCCGGCAAGATGGACCTCTGCCAGTTCGTGGCTGCCACCAGCACCAACGCGGCCAAACTGTTCAACATCTACCCGCAGAAGGTAAGTGAGTGTGCTGTGGATGGCTGGAAGCCTACATTCACAGAGGTTGTAGTTTTGCTATTATACTTCCCATTTGTTTCATTTGGGCAGCTCCCATACTCTGTAATAATCGCTTTGCCGCTCGTGATCTCACCGCCAGGAAGATCGGTGCCGCTCTTAATTACCTGCTTCTCCCCGCCGTCAGGGTGTGATCGCGGTCGGATCGGACGCCGACATTGTCATCTGGGACCCGACCGTGGTGCAGCGGCTCTCGGCCAAGACGCACCAGCAGCGCTGTGACTTCAGCGTGTTCGAGGGCCTGCAGTGCCGCGGCGCGCCGGCCTGGGTGCTCTCCCGCGGCCGGCTGTGTTTGGAGGAGGGTCAGCTGCGGGTGGTGCAGGGCGCCGGCCGCCGGCTCAGCCGTGCCGCCTTCCCGCCGTTCCTGTACCGGCGCGTGCAGCAGCGCGACCTGGCCGGACTGCCGGCGCCCGTCAATAGAGACGGCGGCGACGAGGCCGACCAGGAGCCGGTGCTGGTGCGCGAGCTGAACGGCGTCAAACGCGTCAGCGAGACGATGGCGGGCCGACCGCCGCGCCCGGCGCCGGCGCCGCCCTCGGACGAGTTCCACAACCGCAGCGAGCCGGCAGAGGGCGTGCGCAACCAGCAAAACTCGGGATTCGCCGTCTCAGGTGGGTGAAACGGACGGGGTTAGAGGAAGGGAGAGGGTAAGAGAGCTTTTGGCTGTCGGGGTGGACAAGTAATTCGTGCTTTGGGGCTGGCTGTGCTAAGGTTTGACTGATTCTATCTTGGCTTTGTGCGGTCAGCAAACCTGGGAGAATCGTGCATTGCTTCATCTACAGTCTGCACTAACGTCGGTGGCATCTTACGATATTTATGAAACTGGGCTAAGGGATACTGTTACGATGCTAATTACTAACACTGTGATGCTACTAACGCTATAATATGCTCTGCTCATGTAGGGGAACTTTTAATACTCGGAATATGGCAACGGAGCCGCGGTGCTACTGCTTTGTACAGAGCTCTCGGGTCCATTGGCTCTGTGCTCCGGCTTGTTCCGTGCGCTGTAACACTGTCTGCCCTTACAGGTGCCCAGATCGACGACAAGACTCCCAAACGAACCGGGGTTAAGGTTCACGCCCCGCCCGGCGGAAAGTCGGCGGGCAGCTTCTGGTAACCATGACAACCGAACGTCTAATGCCGGCCGGCGCCCGCTGAAGGTGAAAGGCTGCGTGTGCGCCTGCCTGACTAACCCGGCAATGGCTAACCGATTGGGGGTCGAGCCCCGGAGCTGGTGGGAGGATTCCGACACTGCCGACTCACAGTGGACTACGCTTTCTAACGCCCGCCCTTCCCGCTGGTAGTCGGACTGATCCTCGCTTCTCGCCGCTGCCAAAAGGCGACGCCGGCGGCTGCTAACAAACCGCTGCAACCCTCGTTTCCCTGGCGTGCTACTGAAGCGTCGTCCCTGCTTTCCTATCGATCTGATACCGTCTCGGTGGTGTGTAGGTGCTCCTCCCGGCCGGCCGAGGTTTCTGGACGACCGCTCGGAGGTCTGGCTGGCGCTGGTTCTCAGCTGATCCGCCGCCGGCCCACTGAGCCACCCGGCTGACCGTCGCGCCCGCCTGTGTCTGCAGACTGGCTGTCCGACCTGTGCGTGCCCGCCGGCCTGCTGCTGCCGCCGGGCGCCGGACTGCGGCGGCCCCCGGTCCGACCGGCCCGCTCCCCGGCCCGACAGCGGCCCCGCTGACAGCGCTGTCCCAGCCGGCGTACCTTACCTTCGTTCTCAGTGCTGATTTGGTTGTATTTGTAGTGCTGAACAGGGTGGGGGGGGGGGGGGCGGTATGCCGTATGCATCTAAACGAGCAGCAATGTTACTTGTGAAGACAGAAGATGCTGGTTTGAATCCAGTGATTGGAGTGAATCCGACCCCATTGACAAACGAATTGTGATGGCTCCGATCTGATCTGAAACCTGTTCGTTCGGTCAGCTCTGTCCCTCAGATGCTATGATGGCCAGGTGTGCCCACAGGATGGATAGGTTGCGGGAAATGCGTGTGTTTGGTACGTTTGATAAGGAGATGTTTCCCCGCGTTAGCTAAGCGCAGCTTCTGTGCGTTCGGGCATTGTTGATGGAGTCAGCCCTGATTTTTTTCTCCTGTGCAGCTGAATCTCTCCGTGTAGCGCTGTGGCAGCTTTGGAGCGAGTATGGTGGTGCCTCTGCTCTGCCCGCTGCCGAGAGGCCAGCTGTCAGCAGGCCAGCGCGGCAGCTGTGGCGGTGTCCCCAGTGGCTAGCTTCCGTCTGTGTGCGTGTCGTCTGTTCGCTCGTGCGAATACAATGATTTGTTTTCCTGTGTTACAAAGATCTTATCAGGGAGTAATGTAATTTGAAATCAGCATCGTGCCGATAGGCCGTAAACCGTAACTCTCACGCTGTTCCAAGCGACCAGGCAGCGGCAATTTCACGTGCATTGCCCAGGAATCGAACCTGGATGGCTGTATCTAGAGGTCTAAGACCTTACCCCTAGACCAGTCTAGTCTCCACGTGGGAGGGACTGACAAGACGACGAGGCGCAAATGCCGCGTTCTGGATCTCTACGTCAATAGCCCGATAGATTTCTAAATAGGATTTTAACCCTATTAGTGGCAGGCTCATGGCTACCCCTATTAGTGGCAGGGGGGCTGTTTACGACCCCCCCCCCCCCTTGATATCTCGAGATCTAGCGGGCCGATTTTCAAAATTCAAACGGCATTCGATTTCGCTCAACGTGATCTACATTTCTAAAAAATAAAAATTAAAAAAATGTCAATAGGGGGGTAGACTTAGAGGGGGGCAAAAACGGTCAAATTGCAGATACATTTTAGACTGTTTATCACGGCCAGGTTTCTGAACCAATCTTAGCGCAACTTTTGCCGATCGATAGAGAATGAACCAGGAATTCACATGGATCCTAAAAATATGCATTTTCAAAAATCATAGGCGGATACAGATCATTGAGATTGGGGGTACACAAAAAGTATAGTAAATAAGGTTTTTGTTGGTACTGTTTCTAAAAAGGGTGGTAATGGTCTTGTTATGTTACAATTTTCTTATGAGAACGACTGCAATTGTATTGGTCATGCATAGGCGGTGTCAGGGCACCTATGTTGGGAGGTAAAACATAACCCCCCTTTTTGTACGCCTGGATCCACCTATTATAGCAAAAATGTGTCAAAAGAGGATGCACAATAACTTTGTATATGTTATCACATGATATCTTTCATTCACTGTTCGTAAAACTGGTGCAGCATCGTGATCTTCGCCCAAATGACTCGCTTCACGAATAGGACCCCCCAATTCCCAGTGCTCTGGAGCCGCCCCTGGTAAAGTTATGAACTTGAAATTTTCAGGGAACGTGCCCAATTTAGTCTTAGGAAAAGTCAGAAAATTTCAGCATCGTAGCTTCAGCGGTTTCGGAGATATTCCCGAAAAACCTGAGGGGTGGATAAAAACAACCCCCCCTGCCACTAATAGGGTTAACTCGCGCCGGGCCGGGGTGTTTGAACACCCCCCCCCCCTTGCGGTTTTTGGCACACCTGTTTGTACATCTTTTCCGCACATGTTGTGAAAATTTCAGACCCAGGTCTCCTTAGGTCAAGTCACCAGGCCACGCCAAGTGACCTCACCTCAGAAAAAAATAAGAATGCTCGTCATAGCTACACCGATTGATCGATTGCCTTAAAACTTTCAGCAATTGATTAGAGCAACAATATCTATAAAATGTATATCTCGGAATTTTGATATCGGTGACCTAAGGTCAGGTCAATTTTGCGGCCTCTCCATATAAGTCAATGGGAGAAAATTGAAAAGCGTCTGTTTTGCACGAACGCCATTCTAGACACTCTCAAACATCGAGATATAGGTAAAATTGACACACTGAACCAGAAAATGGCAACTATGACCCCTCGTTATGTCCCAGAGGTCATCTCAGGTCACGAACAGAATCTAACAGTTTTTCGCTAATAACTTCTGATAGAGGCGTCCTAGAGCGCTGAAAACGCCTTAGATGTGTTCGGCTCGACGTTGCGGATCGACCGATATGCAACATGACCTTTTCCGGTCAGGTCATGACCTAGAACTGAGGTCAAATTCTCAAGTTGACCTTTCAAGGTCAAATTATAGTTCATTCGACGCGTCTCGACGAGAGGAACACGATGCTGGTAAAAGTAATGTCATGGCTCTCTTGAGTCAAAAGTTATTTCCGAAAAAAACGTTTTTCGTAAAAACGGCTATTTTTGGAGTTTTTGCCCTCTGGAGGCTAAACCGTTGACCTGAGGTCAAATCTGCGAACATTTTCCAGAAAGGCCTGTAAAAGGGCTATCGAATGTGCTTTCCGAGGCGCTGTAGCTCTATCGGTTCCCGAGATAGCCGTTGGCAGTTTCCAAAATGTTGAAATAGTCAACATTTTACCTTTGGTGACCTCTGGTGACCTGACCTTTGACCTGACCCAAAAAAATGACCGAAGTGTTTTCGTCCTTATTTTGGACGTTCTTTCGACTGCCGCTTACCGCGTGTCGCTACGTGGCCCAGGAGCCGAGTCAGAAGGGGGGTTCAGACCCCCCCCCCCCCCGGCCCGGCGCGGAATCTCAGAGCACCGGCCCGGCGCGGGTTAAATGCCCGCATCAAAGACCGTTACGACATATTAGGTATGTCATGTTATCACAACCACTGGTTTCTGTTCATGTCAAACGCACATTCATTTCCCCTGAATCTACGGCCCTCTAGCATTTGCACACTAAGCACTTCGAATCAACGACGGCGGTTGTAGCTATCCTACAGAGTACAGAGGTTTATTTTCTCCACGAAGCACATGTAAAGCGCTTATGATTTCCAAACCTCTTGGAAAGCAAATGTTTCCATCGATAGCTCCACAAGACAACATCGATGAGAGCACAGAAGCGGCACCCACGGGGTCGACACGACTGCAGGGGCCAGGGCCCACTCGGTTAGTGGGAACTGCGAGTACAGAGCAGCAGCAGCTAAACATGGTCAGAAGCGTAGCGAAGTCCCCATAAGTTAAGCTGAAGGTGAGAGCCACTGGACTAGGAGCGGGTGTGTGCGGGGAACTTGCGTGAGAATCGTGGCAATATTTACAGAGCTTGGCGAGAAGGCTAGGGTTACATAGAGCACAATGACGCCCGCAAAATGTACGGGATTGGTGACGCCACTAACAATTCTAGCGGTTATTTGTACACCTTTCATGGCATCGGCGCATTCTACGTGTCTGGGTATCCATGAGATTTGTGTGTGCATATCGCGTAACGCGATGAAGCGGTTATCCTTTCTCAAACGAATATACACGGAAGCGTGCCCATGCACGCGCGAGGTCTTAATACTACTGCATATTGCATATAAGTACACGCGCATTGTTCCTTCTATGCAGAAGGAAACGAGGGAGCAGGCCCTCCCCGAGCCTCGTCAATGGGAGGACTACGGTTACATAAACTGGTGCCAAGTTAAGTGGCTGATTAAAGCGCAAAATAACTAATTAATTGCATCAAATATGTACAGTGCCACACTTACACTCGTAAGCAAAGAATGACAATGTTGTGGGCTATGCTGGCGATGAAATTGGTCATCAAGGCAGAGGGACGGTACTAGAAGCAGAAGGTAAACGTGACCGAGAGACGTCAAAAATGGCAAATGTACTGCTAAATAGAGCGCAACATTGACCAAATGAGGACTCTACGTCAGTTCGTAATGCGTTTCACATCATAAGCGCATAGCATAGGCATAAGGAGCAAATTAGCCTTATTCTATCAGCGTACCACCTATTGATATATAAGCCAGTGATGTAGGAACCTAGCGAGGTGGTCAAGTCCGAACAAAACATAACTCGTGTTACTACATCAAGCGCCTCGCGCTGATCCAGGAAGCTCTGGATTGCAGCCATCTCCGGCCTGTCTTCTCTCCCATTTTCAGCCTCTCGCTGATCTGTGGTGGACTCGGGTCGCAACTGGTAGCGGGAGTCGATCGGCCTATTTGACCCAGACGATGTTGCCGCACTTTCTGCAGGCGTTCCGGGCCACCGTCTCACGGATACGCTGGTGGTAACGCTCGTCAGAGTCTGAAAACGAACAGCATGAGTCATGACTGTTAAGAGCAAATGGCATGAACACCCATAAGTAAAGTGTGTTAAACTAGCAAGTGATGAACCTATAGCCGACAGGTAGCTCTTGAAAGACATAGAAAGATCATTGTTTTCAGCCTCTTGTTAGCCATAATGGCGCTACTCAACCTTTCAAACATCATATGAAAATTGAGATGCCACCTTCCTTTCACTCCTCGATACTGTAATAATCCCAGCGGGATAGTTTCGCTACCCTGCTAAGCGCCGCCGGCCGATGACGTACCGTCGCTCTCGTCGTCGTCCTCCTGGATGACGTCATCGATCATCAGGTGGGCCACGTTAGCGTCATCGGGCCCGGTGGGAACCATGGACGCGGAGCGCTTCCACCGGCTCGGCGTCTGACAGCCTGCACGTGGAGTGGGGCGGGGAGGTCAAAGGCAGTGATATGCATCGCTGCGAATGGTTCGTCTTTCTTTCATAGCTATCCAACCGTTTCTCTCAGAAGACACTCCAAACGTTCTAATTTTATATTCACTTTTGATTGATGCTGATTCCGGGAGTGCTGTGAACGGCTTTAATCAGTGAAGTTTTTATACAAAATGCCGGGTAATTATACATATACAAGCTTACTATTTGTTATGTCGTCAATTTACTCCTCGTACGTCAATACCACTACGGTTGATGGTCTACAATTCCACCAAAATGCCCATCGGCCACCAACGCTACCACCTCCCCCCTCCCCTCCCCCCTGTAGTGTCGGTTTCTTCTCCCACTCATCTCTCTCTCACTCTCATCCCACGCCCAGATCCACGATCCACCCATCCCACCCATCCACCCTTCCCACCGTTCTCTGAGGTCTCGTGGTCTTCGGCTTCTCCCTCAGCGCTGTTGGCCATGGTCGAGACGATGTCCATTCGAGAGTCGAGCGAGTACTGTTTCCCCGACATCAGCATCCCGCGCACACGACGACGCAGCGCTGGAAACGGCACAACGGCAGTCAGTCGGCAGTGTGGTCTGATTGGTGGATTAGGGAATGGGGTCCCAGCTAGCATCGAGTTAGGCATTGATTGTTTGTTTTGTTGGGTTAGACGTGCCGCTCCAAGGGAGCAGCCCGCATGAGATAAAGGTGCCTGTCCAGCCCGGATTTTTTGTTTGTTTTGTTGGGTTAGGCCCTTTCGGTCCAATGAGACCATTTCAGAGCCGGGGGATGATAGGATATAGGGGGAGACATTGGTCTGGGCAGGCACCCTAGTGAGTCGCCGGGGCTGAGCCCGTCCAGAGGACAGGCCACCCAGCCCCAAGGCACTCACTGCACCCGGCTACGGGGTGCGCTCCCTCGGGAGCAGCGGTGCCGCTCCAAGGGAGCAGCCCGCATGAGATAAAGTTGCCTGTCCAGCCCAGAGTGGGGGTTGCGGCGTGGAGGAGAAAGATTTCAGTATCCTGAGGATGGAAGCGACGGAACGGAGGTGCTGAAGATCATGCTGTCACAGCCTGGTAAATCTCGTTCACTTTATGCCTATGTCAAACCATGTATCATACCTAAAAAGCAGCATGCTACGTCAGAGTATCACTTATCCACCTCAATTCAAGGAACAGTGTTCAGCGGTGCAGCCTACTCGCAGGCGGAGTACCACTAGCGCCCTCTCTGGAGAGGCGGTACAGATATGATGGTCCAGCGGCACAGCCTAACTTCAGGCGTATACCACTAGCGCCATCTCTGGGGGAAGTTTCAGTGTTCGGCGGCACAGCCTAACTTCAGGTAAATGACAACTAGCGCCATCTCTGGACAAGATAAGAGTGTGCGGTGATATGCTGGCGAAATGAGCTAGCTTTCCCTTAGGGCCATCACTGGGTGAGCATGAGGCTCAGTCCTGTTTTGTAGTGATTGTAGGCTTCGATATTTCGGTATCCTCTTGGCCAAATCTCATGACTAGACCCGATATAAAGCAATAGTGGGCTTACATATGTAAATCGATCAGCAGCTGATCGAATCACTTACCAAATTCATTTCACTTGTTAACCCCATTGAAACACGAAAGGGAACCGGGGATTGGGAAAGCTTTCGGTGTTGAGTGTTACCCTAACATATAAGATCAACCTCAGGTGGGCTCACCTGGACTGTTTCGGACCAGGTCGGCCCGGAAGTGCGCCAGCTTCTTGGCGAAGTCGGTGATAATGTCCTTGTTGTCGAATATGGCCACGTAGCTACCGTCCACCACTTTGGGCGACATGGGGCTGTTGGCCAGCAGCAGCGAGGTGCCGAACACCGGGTTACGGCGCGTCTCTGAAAACGATAACACATCAACAGGATCAGGGATGGGCCATGGAAGCGGGCAAGGCAATATGATCCAGATGATGCATAACACGTGCGGATCGATATGTCAGAAAGATAGCGCAAGTCGTGTCAGTTAGCGTATATGTTACGGCGGAAGCTTAGAGCATGAAAAGCTTGGTTTTATGCCTGTTTAACCTTCATGCATATATTACAGGCGTAAGTTTTTTTTCAAAACACCGTCCTTCCAGCAGGTCGACCCTCTGCGCCTCGCCAACCCGCTGGGTGACTCACCAGCCAGCATGGTCTTTTTGAGCTGCTGCTGGATGGGCGCGTGGCTCTCCGCCAGCACCTCCGAGGCAGTCTCCTTGATGACGGCCCAGTCGCGCGTCAGGTCGTCCAGGCGAGTGTGGGTCGACGTCACCGTAAAGCGGATCACGTAGTTGCCCTGGCGGTAGGAGGCGGTAGGTGAGATAAGGCCGGACACGCCGGGATGAAGAGATATAAAGATCAAGGGTAACTAAGTATCATCAAGATCAAGTTTATATCACATATAGCGATCGAGTAATGAAGGGGTGACGGGAGTCAGTAACATGACGGAGTAAGCCGCTTGCAGAATGAAAACATGGAAAGATGAACACCGTGCTCTATATGAAAGAGGTAAAATGAAAACGGTTTACGTCCTTCGCGGTATATTCTCACCATGCGGCCAATATTGTCTAAAGAAAATCAAAATAAAATAACGGCTTTTCTATACAGCAAACCACCAGAGCAAAATGGTCCCATCATTCTGTACCACCGATAAACTTAACAAAACGTAAAATATGTCCTATGTCTATCACCCACTTTCAGCGAGGCTGGTACACAGTGTATCCGTCCGTTGGAGTTTAGTCGCTTCAGCAGTTTCTCAGTCAGCTGATTGTCGCCCCGCAGGCGGAAACAGATGAGCCCCAGGTGACGGGGGGCGGCCACCTCGAATCGGGGGTCCGACTGGACCATCTCCTCGAACTTCGAGGCCAGACGGACACCCTGGTGTGGATGGAAGGCGACGGCAGTAAGATTTTGATACGGAGATAATGCAAAAAATGTGCTGATAGAAAACAAAACAACGAAAACAATATCATCATTGATTATATTGGAGCGATCAACACACTTTGCCTTTAAATCGCATGCTTTAAAAGTATACCGCTGTATTACGCAGGGCGATATCTACAAATGTGAACTCCCTTCGGTACAGACATTGACATGTTTTACGCTCCTATGATGTATGCCATGCAATATGCATCCTATGTTGGGTCTTACGTAACGTGTTGTGGCCCACGCCGCTATAACGTTACATAACCCTGTCTCTGAGGTGCACCCACCTCTCTGACGTGGGCCTGTAGTCCTTCCACTCCGTAACTCCTCAGAACGAACCACAGCTTCAGCGCCCGGAACCGCTTACTCAGCGGAATCTGCCAGTGCTGAAAGAACGATACCGTACGGTGTAGCATTATATCGCAAAGAGCATAATAATTCTCGTAGGCGAATGAAACATATCGACTATCAGTAATGATTGATTTTTTTACCAAGAGGCGTTAAAACATGCGCCAAAATTATGCCTTAAAGAAATTATAAAATTAGGTATATCTATTGCAAAGACAGTCGATAGACTGTCTAGTTTCGCAGGAATGTAAAACAAAAATCCCGTGACCGTCTCGCGCCACCAGACACCAGAAACCCCTCCCCCTATAATAGGATGACTAATTCATCTGTTTCGTCGGCCCCGACTCTGCACGTCGCGACGTTTCCCCGTCGACCGGTTCGTCTGTCCCTTCTGCGGCCGCTGACGCCACAAAACCTGTCGGGGAAGCCGCAGCAGCGCCCGTCGGACAGCGGAGGGACAAGTCGCCGATCGGCCGCCGCGACACTCACCATAAAATCGATGGCGTACCCTGAAACACCGACCATGACTGGTCAGGGCGTGCTCAAGCACAGGTGTCTGGGAGGGTCTGGCTGATAAAAATACGTGCAAAGCATCGGCTGGATATGTGCGGTCATGACAAAAATAGTTGTCCGGATTTCCATGGCTTATGCAGCCACTAAGGTAACAATAAATTGTCACCGGTTCATAAACTTTGTTCTATCATACTCGTACATGAATTTCGATAAAATCGGGTGTTTATTGCTCTCTCTCGGAATTGTTGTTTATTATTGCCTTTTTATTATTTTATTTCTTATTTGGTTATATTATGCTGAGATAAGGCTTCACTGGTCACGGCACGGGGGGTAGCCTACTGCAGACATACCCAGCGTAAGAGGTTCTTGCGCTGTCATAAGGTCGCTATCACATGCCACAATTTCCTGCAATGACTGTGTACGTTTCGCCTCACACCGTACCAGATAAAGTACGCGCCGTTCCCCTGTAACTACCGCCCTCGCTGGCAAGGTTTGACCCGTGGTCCGACTGACCCGAGTTCTCGTGCTGCAGGTAGAGCGGGTCCACGTTGAAGGTGCGGTGTAGGGTCTGACTGTTCTTCACCCTGAGAAAGGACACACAGCGGCCGTGTGAACGAACGCAATTCATAAGCGGGCTGAGCTGGGGGCTTAACTGAAATCAGCCAAAAATAGCCTTCGCCGAATATTCGTCAAAGTATCCATGCATAGAAACGCCTCAGCATACGTGTAATGTGTCCGCCTGCCGGCGTCTATCTGTCTGTCTGTCTGTGCCAGTCCGCCTGACTGTCTGTGTGCCTGTGTGCATGGCTGCCTGTGCGCCGCCGGTGGTCGCCGGGCGCGGCTCGGGTCACCAGTGAAGGGTCCTCGGGTGGCTATCAGAGGACCCGGTCGTTATTGGTCCCCCGGTCTGCCGCTCTCTCCGACGGCAGAGTAAACAGGATCACCACCTCTCCTTCCTGGTCCTACGCCCCTCCCCTCCCTGCACAGCCCAGGACTGTCACAGCGCGGCCATCACGGCCGGCGCAATACGTTCTATACACACCAGCTATACATATGCACGATTTCGAAAGTGATATTTTGGTTAAACTGCAAGTATCCGCTTCTCATAACGGATATCATTCGACATATTACGAATCGATGACAGAAATCGTGAAGGCGTAAAGAAAACCGTTAAATCCTCATTATGTTCGCGAGGTTTCACCTACCTGCCATTTACCCGCCCAGTCCCTCTGCCCTTTCTTTCCCGATATGTCCTTCCTGCCCTCCCCTCTCCTCTCCGTCCACCCACCACATGGCCGTGCAGTCAAAGTGCACCATCATCCACTTGCTGGGGTTGAAGGCCAACGAGTCCGCGAACTCGACGCCTTTGAGCCAGTGACGGAACTCTGGGCAAATGAAGGCGGTGCCGGCGTACGCGGCATCCACGTGCATCCAGATCTCCTCCTCACGACCTGTGCGGAGGACACGGGGGTGAGAGTGGAGGTGGAACGGAAAATCTGATTACGACTGGGCGTGAAGATGCCTTTTCGGTTATATTTAATTTCGGCAGAAACATCTAAAATTAATACAAGAAAACGATAAGGATTGAGATCGATGTTTTACTCACAAATCGGTCCGATCTCGCTCAAGTTGTCAAACGAGCAGGCTCCAGTGGTTCCAAGCGTCGCACATAACTGAAATGAAGAACATGGTCATGTGATGATTATCAAACTTTTCATAAATTAGTATAAAAACGGCATGATCGCTTCGCTGTGAGAGCGGAGTGGGGTCGTTGAGTTCGTATTTAATCAAACTTTAAAATCCGTGTGACTTCTCGCATGTGTAAATCACGCCCTTGTAAGCACAACTCTCCAAACTCACAAAGAAGGGTATGAGTCCCTTCTGTCGGTCTCGTCGGATGGCCTCCACCAATTTGTCGCCCCGCAGACTCAGCTGAGAGTCCGTCTCGATGTAGCGCATCTTGACCAGCCCGATCAGGCCGGCCTTCTCCACAGACGAGTGAGCCTAGCGGGGGGAATCGGTAACGTCAGGCTGCTCAGACAGATCGGAATATCATGTAGTGTATGACGTCTACGATAGCTGGGCTATGTCGCGGATCGATGACGATTCAGCGCTATAATATTTTGGCCAGTATTTTAGGTGTGGAGTTATCCATTGAAACAAGCCAGCGTTCACGTATTCTACTCTCAGTTTCCAATCTCATCCGTCTCCTATCAGAGCTCTCCTGCAGTTCTTTGTAATGTTTTTAGGGTGTGAGTGATTGGGTGAATGTCACCTGGTCGGAGCAGTAGGCCACCAGTCGGCTGTTGATCTCTGCGTCGTCTAGGTCCGGACACGTCTTCTTGTACCGGCTGATGGCCTCGGTCCGGCCGGCCAGCAGGCACACAAACGTCGCCTCCGACGCCGTGGTCTAAGGGAGGGCATAAAAGAGTCGACAATCGCTCGAGCGTCGGCTAAAGGAATCGGATAAAAGTAGGGGGAATGTATGTAGCATTTATTCGACGACTGGTGCAACACTCTTAAGGAAATATGATACCTGTACTAGCCTTAAAATACTAGCCTTATCTCGAACAATACTAGTGGTGTCAATCGGAACTTAAATCTTCGGAATTCCGATTTTGTCCGATGTCCAATTCGGAATTCGGTTGGACAATGGCAGCAGGCTTTGGACAACTTTGGACAATCGCTTGCTACACCTCAACATTTTTAAAAAGTAATCGTGGTTAACATTGATTGGCTAATAAAACGCTCAGCTTTCCATATGATTAACACTTTTGAGCTGGTAACGGTACATTAAAAGCAAATTAAATAACAGTGTTGAGTGTTAACTATTGCGTAGGTGTCGGACAACTTTGGACAAATGGCTGGCTTGGACATTTTTGGACGGACAATCGACGTAAGCATTGGACATTGGACGGACTTAAGACATAGGTTTTCTGAAATTGACACCACTAAACAATACCATCTAGAATAGATCATCGCGTTCTCTAGGCTGCAGAACCGCAAGCACGCACACACGGACTAACCTGTATGACGCCGCCGCCGTGGCTGTCTTTGGAGCTGTGCAGAAACTCGGCCGGCAGTCCGATCATCTGACCCAGCCAGTCCATGACAATCATCTCCAGCTCGGTACACGCCGGACTCGACGCCTGGCCGGTCACACAGGAAATGTGCAAATGAATGCCTGCTTAGTGTTGAGTGTCAACAGTTAATAAAGGAAGTAAAGGTTTCTAACTATTCCCTGAAAAAAAAACATTTGATTCCAAACTTTTTACAATGCTTGAAGCAGAATGGTACCTAAGTCGTTGTTTCTACGTCTTGAAGAACTTAAAAATTGCATGCATGAGCAAGAGCGTTATGTAAGGCACATATCGGACAGCATTTTCGTCTGCAAACGGCGAGCGTGCCTTGACAACGGACCTGGCTGTTTACAAGGATATGGTGAAACCTATGGGGAAGCTGCGCTGAAAATTAATCACGAAACCCTGCAAATTACCAGGAAGAAGGTCGGAAGGCTTGCGTTCAACATTGACTGCTCAGTGCACCACCATGCCGTCAGCTTCGGATCATTCCACCACCCCTACCCCCACCAGACGGACCCCCCCCCCCGGAGGGGGGGGGGGTGGCCAGTGGTCGGCAGAGACGGGCAGTTTTAGTTGCGGCGTAGGAGGATAGATTGCCGCGTAAAGCGCGCAGACGGTGTTTACACGGGAGTTTGGCCGGCCGATCACGGCTCAGCTGATCCCCGCGGATGATGTGCGCCGCCGTATGAACCTCCCTTTATGGCCGAACGACGCTGCCGTTATTCGACTCGGTCCGTGTCATTGTGTTTTGCCGACGGAAGCGCAGACATAGGGTTACTTTATATACGCTACGTGACGGCTAAAAGCTTTCTCCAAAGACTTGCTGGCTTTCATCAGAGCAGGCCAAAGCTCAGAGTAATGGAATTATTAGAACATTTTTAACGTAAATGCAAGGAGTAATGGTAAAGTTTGCGGATCGACTTCTCGAATACTGCGCACTGCATATCGGCGATGGTCGTGCGGAATAATATATAGAATGGATGAAAGCGGAGTAAAACATTCAAAGACCTAAAAAGTACCTATTTTCGCTTATCGACATATTACTCACCCACGTGAAGCCCAGGCAACCTGTAACATCCAGCAAGTGTCACCCGGCGAATCACTAGAATATGGCTCGAGAATTTCGGCATTCAGCAGCGTTAATGGAATCATACAAAAGCAAATATTAATGACAAAACATCAGTTTACACATATCGATACAGTGCAGCCTACAAAAGCGATTATTATCTAACGTTTCCTGATAGAAATGACTGATCTCGGTGTCAACAAACAACGCCCCTTATAGTTAACAAATAACGCCCCCAAATAACACAGCGAGAGTCCGCCCTTACCCATGGCGTTGGCCAGCATATCGCCGAGCATAGAGGGCGGAGACGTCAGCGCCGGAAAGTAGGCGTGCATGTGTGGACTCTGCCAATGGGTAACCTGGACGAAAAAAAATGCCGGGATATATGTCATAAAGAGCTCAAAGCAGGGAAGTACGCGTGCATGTGCGGACTCTGCCAGTGGGTCACCTGGGCAAAACACCACCAGAGCATCTCAAATATAGATGCTTACAATACGTGAGGAGAGAAATCAGCATATGATATTTAACCACTAAGATTTTAAGTCGATGAAATTAATTTTACCGCACGAGTTGATCGAGTACTCATAGCTTAAGGTTTTTGAACTAAATGCAAGAAGATAAGCTTTTAGGTGTTTTCAGACCACCTCCGTCCATGATTTCGATTCTGCTAATTGTACAGTCTGTCTTAAAAGTACCGCGCAAAGTGACGGTGGATCCACCAAGCCTGACGGAGAAAGGGCCTGCTTTAATTTGAAAGTCACCGACCAATTGACCTAGGAAATGGACGAGGATGTTAATTGCTTCGGTGACCCAAATTTAGTAGGCCCTTCTTCAGTCAGGCTCGATGGATCCACCGTCACTTTGCGCGGTACTTTTAACCCGCGCCCCGTTGGGCTCTGCCGAGCAACGCGCCCGGTTGGGGGGGGGGGCCATTTTGGCCCCCCCCTAAGATCTCGAGAACCACGCAACATAGCGACAAGCGGTAAACGGCGTTGGATAGCCCCAACGGGGAACTACCTTGTGACCCAATTTTATTGACCTAGGTCAAACCGATGACGTCACAGGTCAGGTCAAAGGTCCAATTTTCACCGTTTACAGGCACTTCAAGAAATGCGTTGTAAAATCGAGTAAAATGCATTTCATTGAAAATCATCGATGGGGAAATGTTCTTCAAACACATATTTTGCTATTTGAGGTCACTGATACCAGGTCAGGTCACAGAGGTCAGGTCACGGGGGGGTCACAATATGAAAGTGTCGTGTGATACATGTTTTATGGTTCATTTTACATGACAAATGCGATTATATGGGTCAGGCAGCCTTTGGGGCCAGCTTAGATCACGTTTTGGTCAAGGTCAGGTCAAGGTCAGGTCAAGGTCAGGTCAAATTAGGTCAAATTCCAAAGTTAATATTTTTGCATAAAATGGGTATCGAATCGATGCAGCTCGTCACGGGGAGTTCAATGGTGGTCTTTGTTTTGCCGTACGAGGTCTAGAATTGCTAAAAATTGAGTTCAAAAATTTGACGTCATCATTTTTGAACAGTTTTTTCGCTATAACTTGGCCAAAAAACGAGATATCGATCTGAAATTTGGTATGTATATAGAAGAGCGCTGGGACTATCACATATATTCCGGTTTTTTCGAAATTCGGAAAATTTTTGGATTTTTTCAAAGTTTTTCTAAAAAAATCAATTTTTTGATTTTTTTGGGTCAAAAACCAAAAATTTTGAAAATTCGAGATAGCAGTTTTGTAGCGCCGCCTTTTGTCTACTAGACCATATAAAGAACTTTGAAATTGCTTGATAACTGTAGATTTGGTGAGCGTTTCAAGATTGCATGTTTTTTGCTCATTTTTGCTCGAACATGACCTCAGTTTGACCTCAATAACTCCTGACCTAAGGTGACCTAAGACTTGAAATTTGGTGTGAAGGTGTCAAATTGATGCCCGGGAAGGTACTGAAAATTTGGCGGCGCTGCGCGCCGCCGTTTTCTTGCTATTCAGGAAAAACCACAGGGGGGGGCCAAAATGGCCCCCCCAACGGGGCGAGGGTTAAGACAGACTGTACAAATGAATCAGGAATATACAGCACTATTCGAATTTTCTAAAGTTATACAGAAAATTAAGAGTGATGCCTTGTTCCCCGATGCCGCCACCGTTCCCCGCTCGGCGGTCTCACCCCCGGCATGATGACGCGCTCCACGTCCGCCATGACGTCGACCCACTGCTCGCCCTGCTGAGGCGCCTGCTTGGGCACCAGGTCACACATATAGCCGGGCTTGACGTCCGGGAAGACGCGCCGGTCGCGGATCCCCTCCAGGTAGTCGGCGATGTAGTCGACCATCTCCTTGCCTAGCGAGAGAGAGGGTTGTGAAACAGGGGCCGGGTGATGGCCGAGTAGGGCCAAAGGTGGACGGCGGAGGGGAGAGCGACTGCGAATGGATTGTTGAAGTGTAGGACGGTTTGCAGTTTGCACCATAAGAAAATGTACTTCACTGAACAGCAAGAAAATGTGGAACTGGAGTGAATTGAAATGTGTTGACAAACAGGCAACTAGACTAACAAAATCAGACCAAAAAGTTAATAATGTGCACTGTGCAGGTAGCACACGCTATAATAATATGAAAATGACAGGTCCGTTACTGATCGGTGTCTAGCAGCGACACGGAAACTTACCCCGTTTGCGGTATTCGTCGTAGTCCATATCGCTGGCCTTTAGATGATCCCGACTCGGCTGGAGCTGCGACGATTTCAATGTGCTTAATTTTCTGAAATAAATAGATCTACCTTAAATCCAAATATGGATAGACCGTGTTTATACGTACCTACAGATGAGGCGAGGAGAGGATCACTTGTTTCAAAGTTTTGTTCTGTGAACCAGGTGGGTGGCGTACGCAGTTACAAAATTATCGCCGCTAGATGTCTCTAGTTTATACCGCCTGATACATGCTGTGCCGCATTGCTCAGCACTTCCTACAACGCTCGCTAGATGCCAGTCATCGACCGCCTGAAACATGCTGTGCCGCAACGCACATAGGCTGGGCGGCGCAGCATTCTTAGAGGGACTTATTTCTCGGTCAAACGAGAAGATTTAGAGGAGTAAGGCAATTGTATTCAGCGACGGAATTATTTCAACTTCACCATTGACGCAGGTCGGTTTTAACGTCAGGAAATATCGAATGCGGCACTAATGCATCATATATTCCAGCATACCCACACAGGTCCATCGTCAAAGCTCGCTGCGTCTGACATCCGCTGGCGTTCATTCACTCGGCCGTCAGTCCCGCCTCCCCCCCCCCCCCACAGACCAGTCCCGACAGCCCTGTCTGAAGACAGCTACAGCCGACCGGACAGCGGAGCCGCCGTGTATCCATCACAGCTGGTAATTGTGCTATCGCCACCAGTTGGCCGCCGACGGCTGATGGCCCGCTGCCGGCGGCATTGGGCGGCGGCGCAGCCCCGACCCTGGGGGACGCACCTCGCGCGGGGCCGGCTATCGGGCCGCCCTGTTGACGCCGGCCGCGCTCCCCCCGAGGGCGGTGGGGTCTCCGAGGACCGCGGTGGCCATTCAGCCGACACACTCCCCAGATGGGCGGCTTTGTCAGTCGCCACAGCCGACCCAGACGGAGCAGAAGGAAAAATGAGGGGGCAGCAACAGGAAAGGGTATTACGTAAGTGCAACGCATGGAGGCATTATTATATAAGCAATAACATAGTTTATAAGAGTAAGATATTCCAGATATATCGATATACAGGTATTTATTATTCGCGAATAATAGCAAGGGCCAAGGACTCAGTTTATAATTTAACCGGTAATTCTCGTTACCGGAAAGTTGACGATAAAAGGGATTCATCATTCATAGGAAAAAACAGGATTTAGCAAAGGCAATGAGTTTCAATGAAATAAGCATAGGTACCTTTATATTTTATAATCTTGGACTATATTCAACAAGAATCGGCACGCTGCACGTATTTTAATAAGATGCACTTAGTTATTCACCAAGTATGGTAGCCATGTGGGCCCACCGGGCCTTGGGCCGACCTATATTTCGGGATCTGTAACTTTATAATGCTTTTACCGATCCCTCTGAAAGTTAGCCTTCCTCGAATTCGTCTGAAAACGTCTTCTCGATAACCTAGTAAGAAACATTTGAATCTTTGATTTCGAGGGCTAAAAACTTGTGTCACATTTGACGTTTAACTTTTCAGCCGAACAGGTGCCCAGCTGCAGCACTACCACAACATTCCAGAATCCAGAACTAGCGTATCAAGACTGCGGCCGTCCGAACGGTGGACTATCCGTGACCGACCGAGACGGCAGCGGCGGCGGCACGGGAAAGGGACAGACATAGGAGGCATGGAGGGGCTTTGGTAATAGTCATTACACAGTAAAAACCCTCGCCACAAGGAAGGAGTCACGTTCCACGATGCGCCTATCAATAATTATTGAAATCAAGATATGTAGTTGGGGCATGGTTGGGGCATCCGGTTTACACCAGCCCAACTACAAGCACTATAAGCAAGGAGAAAGAAATCAACTTCCTAAGGGTTGAAAGAAAGATCTACAGCTAACTTTCAGCTAGAAAGCCAGTTCGAGCCAAAAAAAAAGCCAGAAAGATCGAAGGCTTGAGTACAAAAAATATGCATACAATTTTCTTAAAACAAGTTAAACAAAATAATTCCTTTTAACCCGCGCCCCGTTGGGCTCTGCCGAGCAACGCGCTCTGTTGGGGGGGGGGGCAATTTGCCCCCCCCCCCCTAAGATCTCGAGAACCACGCAACCTAGCGACAAGTGGCAAACGGTGTTGGATAGCCCTATCAGGGAACTACCTTGTGACCCAATTCTATTGGCCTAGGTCAAACCGATGACGTCACAGGTCAGGTCAAAGGTCGAATTTTCACCGTTTACAGGCATTTCAAGAAATGCGTTGTAAAATCGAGTAAAATGCATTTCATTGAAAATCATCGATGGGGAAATGTTCTTCAAACACATATTTTGCTATTTGAGGTAACTGATACCAGGTCAGGTCACAGAGGTCAGGTCACTGGGGGGTCACAATATGAAAGTATCGTGTAATACATGTTTTATGGTCCATTTTACATGACAAATGCGATTATGTGGGTCAGGCAGCCTTTGGGGCCAGCTAAGGTCACGTTTTGGTCAAGGTCAGGTCAAAGGTCAGGTCAAGGTCAGGTCAAATTAGGTCAAATTTCAAAGTTGATATTTTTGCATAAAATGGGTATCGATTCGATGCAGCTCGTCACGGGGAGTTCAATGGTGGTCTTTGTTTTGCCCTACGTGGTCTAGAATCGCTAAAAATTGAGTTAAAAAATTTGACGTCATCATTTTTGAATTTTTTTCGCTATAACTTGGCCAAAAAACGAGATATCGATCTGAAATTTGGTATGTATATAGAAGAGCGCAGGGACTATCACATATATTCCGTTTTTTTCGAAATTCGGATTTTATTTTTATTTTTTTTTATTTTCTAAAAAAAACATTTTTTTTATTTTTGGGGGTCAAAACCCAAAATTTTGAAAATCCGAGATAACAGTTTTGTAGCGCCACTTTTTGTCTACTAGACCATATAAAGAACTTTGAAATTGCTTCGTAACTGTAGATTTGGTGAGCGTTTTAAGATTGCATGTTTTTTGCTCATTTTTGCTCGAACATGACCTCAGTTTGACCTCAATAACTCCTGACCTAAGATGACCTAAGACTTCAAATTTGGTGTGAAGGTGTCAAATTGATGCCCGGGAAGGTACTGAAAATTTGGCGCCGCCGTTTTCTTGCTATTGAGGAAAAACCACAGGGGGGCCAAATTGCCCCCCCCCCCCCTGTGGTTTTTCCTGAATAGCAAGAAAACGGCGGCGCGCAGCGCCGCCAAATTTTCAGTACCTTCCCGGGCATCAATTTGACATTTGACAATTTGATTCAATACCCATTTTATGCAAAAATATTAACTTTGAAATTTGACCTAATTTGACCTGACCTTGACCTGACCTTGACCTGACCTTGACTAAAACGTGACCTAAGCTGGCCCCAAAGGCTGCCTGACCCACATAATCACATTTGTCATGTAAAATGGACAATAAAACATGTATCACACGACACATTCATATTGTGACCCCCCGTGACCTGACCTCTGTGACCTGACCTGGTATCAGTGACCTCAAATAGCAAAATATATGTTTGAAGAACATTTCCCCATCGATGATTTTCAATGAAATGCATTTTACTCGATTTTACAACGCATTTCTTGAAATGCCTGTAAACGGTGAAAATTGGACCTTTGACCTGACCTGTGACGTCATCGGTTTGACCTAGGTCAATAAAATTGGGTCACAAGGTAGTTCCCTGATAGGGCTATCCAACACCGTTTGCCGCTTGTCGCTAGGTTGCGTGGTTCTCAAGATCTTAGGGGGGGGGGCCAAAATGGCCCCCACCCCCCAACGGGGCGCGTTGCTCGGCAGAGCCCAACGGGGCGCGGGTTAAATACGAGGCCGCATCTAAAAAGATTAAAAAACAATTAATTTTAAAAATCTTCATTACAATTTCATACGAACTTAGCCACCGTGCTACCGATTGGTACCTACATACATGACAGGAGGAACCTCAGCGGTTGCCAAGGGGTTTCAGTCTTGCGAAAGTTGTCAATTAGTGAATTTGTCATCTAACATGATGTGAATTAGATCACCATGCGAAGGCGGTTTACATACAGCTTTGTATTATCGGTACTGCCGCTATGCTCTCGGTAAATGTTTACCTATATGGCAGCTCATTAGCCAATCAAAGCAATCTCATCGCATATGCAAGTGTTTCTGAGCTGACGGAAGGAGGAAACTGTTTCTTTATCAAAAAGAAAATCATCCCCGTTGACCAGGCAGAACTCTATCGACACCGTCATTCCTGTTTGGTAGGAGATATATTAATTAAGGTTAGGTATTAGTCGCATAAAGTATTACGGAAGTTAGAAAACTGTAACTCAAGGAAAAGGATTTATCACCTACCTATAGCTCTGTCACTACAATGTCAAATAAAATGGATTTGATTGATTGATTGATTGATTCATATTTTATTTATAGAAGCATTTTCACAGTCATACATTTACACGGATTGGTGCAGAAGCGACAAGCGCTTATCTCTAAGCACCTCTCCCAGTTCCCTACAAGGTAGGAGGCACGACCACCGCCCCCGACCGCCCAGCCAGCAGACCAGAAGCAGAGCCGCCCGTCGCCAGTCCGCCTATTTTATGCTTAGAGAAATTACTTCCAAAAGCGTGCTTTTTATATGAACCTTCCAGTGCCAATGATATAATTTTGAATGGCCCTGACCAGCTCCCCGCCGCCGCCGCTGCCAATACCTTGACCCTCTAGGAGAATTTCGAGTTGTCTTCTAAAAGAAAAAGCGTCAAAGTCGTGGAATACAGTGGAGACAGAGTTAAAAAGAAGCGTCCGTTCGTCAGCGTAAAGAGGGCAGTGCAGCATAAAGTGACGTGAGTCCTCCCAAGGATGACCGCACTGACAGGCCGCATCTTGGGTGTCCTTAGATAAAACTGTGAAGAGGTGTGCTTTTAGGGTGGACATGTGCAAACGAAGTCTAGTGTGGAGAGTGTTGCCTAGCTTGGATCCTGAGGAGAAGAAAGGGTTGGGCTGGGGACAGAAGTGCTGTCTTACTTCATTGGAAAACTTAGAGCGTGATCGGATCTGACGGATATGTTCGGGGAGGGAATTCCAGGATCTGGTAGTTTCAGGGATGAAGGATCGCTGGAAACAGGATAGGCGGTTTTTCGGGAGCGTGAGCAGTGATGAGGTGCGGAGGTTGCGTTGAGTCGAGTCCTGGCGCGTCGGCGTGATTAGGTCTGTTACATAGGCAGGAGTTGATGGCGGTGGATGGCGGAGTTGATGGAAAAATGTCAGTCTGTGAGTCAGTCGTCTTGTCGTCAGTGTTTCCCACCCCAGGTCCTTATGCAACTTGTCAGTTGGAGATCTGTAAAGGGCACCAGTCACTAGTCTCGCCGCTCTGTTCTGTAGTTTTTGGAGTCTGAAGATGTCTGAAGTCGTCAGGTGTCCGTCGTACACTATGTCGCAGTAGTCGAAAAGTGGTCGAATGTAAGTAAAATAAATGTCATTCAATACTTGTCTTGGCAAGTATTTAGCGACAGGATAGATAGGGCTAAGTGCTCTATTTACTTTAGTTACTACTTTGTTCACATGTTCGTGGAAGCGTAAGTCAGTCGAGAACGTCAGTCCTAGATGTGTGTGGCTAGATGAAGTTGGGATCCGTTCACCTCCAAAAGTCAGCTGTAGTGTCTGTGTGTCTTGTCTTGTGGTGAATGTCTGCTGCTGTGTCTTCTGTGGGCTAAAATGAATTCCCCATTTATCGCCGAACTGTTTGATGACATCGAGGTCGCGCTGGAGAGACTGCTGGTGTTCGAGTGAATTTCGCGGGTGAGAGGAATAAAGAGAGGTGTCGTTAGCAAAGAATAAAATTTGGTTTTCAGTTAAATTAGATAGATCATTAAGGTAAATAAGGGCTAAAAGGGGTCCGAGGACCGACCCCTGGGGATTAGTTATACGGGTAGGAACGGAGAAGCAGGATAGAAGCTATTTCACTTTCACGGTCAATGCTGAACAAAACTCAGGTCAGTGGCGGATCCAGGATTTTCACTGGGGAGGGGCTGCAGGTCATAATTGGGCGCCACGCCCCGGATGGGCGCCATAGTCGCATCGTATTGGCGCTGAAATATTGGCGCCCAGTGGCCCTGACAAGAGGCGCCCAGGATCAGTATGTACAGTGACACCACACGATTGGAAATATCGGTGCGGAGCGTACTGAAACGACGTTATTCGACTGATTTTTGCATCCTAGTCCTAGTATGCGGCACTCCGATGAGTTGCGAATTGAAAATTGGCGCCACTGCGCCTTCGGCGCAGTGGCGCCAGTTTTCCTTGGGTGGGGGCTGCCAGCCCCCGCAGCCCCCCCCCCTGGATCCGCCACTGACTCAGGTCACCAATAGGTTATTCGGCAATGCCTTTCGCAAGAGATGTTACAGCGACAAACACGCCCTGAATGCATTCTTGGCAATACGAATCGACTGACACGTAGAGTTAATATCACACAAGACTTTTGAGCATCGAGCACTGCAAATAACCGGTTTCATAAAGTGTATTTTTGACTGCACCTATTTGCTTTCTGGATGCCTGTAGATAAACTACCAGTATAACGCCTTTTGGGGCGACTAACGGAGCGAGCGAGAGGGTGAGCCTTGCACGTGCGAAATTTCGACGAGGTACCTCCAGCTGACTTGTGCACGGCACCCTACTAACTGGTCTCTAGCGATGTGCCAAATTTGAGCACAATCGGCCCAGCCGTTCTCGAGATCTGGAAGCGGCACCCTGCACGTGCGCACGTGCAAAATGGGTCCCAACTGAGTTTTGCACGGCACCCTACTAACCAGTCCCTAGCCATGTGCCAAATTTGAGCGCCATCGGTCCAGCCGTTCTCGAGATCTGGAATCGACCCCTGCACGTGCAGCAGCACCCCAATTCTGGCACATGGATGTGCATTGCCTAGTGGGTGCCTACCTACATGCCAACTTTCAGCGCAATCGGCCAAGTAGTTACCGAGATATTGCAACAATTACAAAAGTGACACCTCTTCGTTTTGCACGTGGCACGTGCATAAGGGGTCACCCACATGCATCGGGAATAGTCCAATACTTGGCAGAAGGAATGAAGCTACCCTACAAAAATTACCGCGTGTAAATCGGTCAAGTGGTTGCTGAGATATAAGCGTTGCAAAATCGTGACCACGGCCGGCCGGCCGGCCGCTCATACTCAGAAATTTCCGTTAATCTAAGGAAAGACTCCGCTCGCTTCGCTCGCTCCGTAACCAAGAAGGCTGAATACTAAATAGTTTCAAAAGATAACCCGAATATTTCTCTGACGATGAGATACCATACTGCTCTAGCCTCTACCTCAGCTCACAAGTTCTGGGCCGATTAAAAAAGTGCAAAAGGGATAATCTGACTTGATGAAGTCTCGTCACTAGTGATGTGACTTTTGAGCGGTAGGCAGTAGGCACCTACCGTACACAGGCCACTGACCACTGGCGGATCTAGGGGAGGGGGTCTTTGAGGCAATTGCCCTCCCCCGCAGCGCCCGATATTGACGAAATTTCACGTTTTTTTTTCGAGATAACCTGAAAAGAAAACTTAACATCTTTTATTGGGGAAAGTTTGTTTTAAATTGCAGAGCGGAATAGAAATCCGAGGAGTTTTGGAAATTTGGAGAGACTTTTGGGGGTATGCCCCCCCCCCGCAGCGTCCAAGACCACCTTTCCAGATCCGCCAGTGCCGCTGACCAGTAACGATCGTCCCACCCGGATAACAGGCGTAGGAATACAAACATTTCTCCGCAGTAAAAGATTCAAAACATTCAAAATTAATAAAATTTGTCGCTTATATAGCTCAATGTAAATTAACCCGCGACCTGGTGGGGGGGGGGGGCTATTTTTTGCCCCCCCCCCCTCCAGACTTTTCGATATATCTCCAGAACCGCTGCGCCGATCGTCACCAAACTTTCAGTACCCTCCTGGACATCAATTTTACACATTGTGACCAAAATTTTTCCAAAAGCTATGATAGGTTGGCCGGAAATGACGTCAGAGTGACGTCATATTCTGCCGTTTTCGACCCAAAAAAGGGTTTCGCGGGAAGAGCTGTCAGGCCTATAGCTTTGCAAATACAGAAAAATGTTTAGGACATAAAAGCTGTAGAATTGACAGAACTACAAAACTGCTATCTCGTATTTTTGAATTTTTTTGATTTTGACCCCCAAAAATCAAAAAATAGATTTTTTGGATATAATAGTCAAAAAATCCAAAAAGTTTTTTGAATTTCGCAAAAACCGGAATATATGTGATAGTCCTTACCACCTTCCATCCACATACCAAATTTTAGATTGATACCTCTTTTTTTGGCGAAGTTATAGCGAAAAAACTGTTCAAAATTGATGACGTCAAATTTTCAAACTCAATTTTTAGCAATTCTAGGACTCGTAGTGCAAAACAAAGACCACCATTAGACTCCCCGTGACGAGCTGCATCGAATCGATACCCATTTTATGCAAAAATATCAACTTTGAAATTTGACCTTTTTTGACCTGACCTTGACCTGACCTCCACCAGAAAGTGACCTAAACCGTACCTGATGGTCTTATAACCAACACCATTGGGTTGGAAATGAAAAACTGGCCATAAAACATGCATCGCACAACCTTAGTAAAGTTGGGTTCATGTGGTGACCCTTGGTGACCTTTGGTGACCTGACCTGTGACCTGACCTGGTATGACCAGTGACCTCTAATAGCAACATATGTACTAGACAACTGACGTCTTATCGCTGATTTTCGACAAAATGCGTTTTACTCGGTGTTATAGCGCTTTCCCTAGAAGCCCCGTGAACGGTGAAACATTTTATCTTTGACCTGACCTGTGACGTCATCGGTGACCCCGAGGTCAATAAAATTTGGTTTCCCTCGACAAATTTGACAGGGCTATCGAACGCCGTTTGAATTTTGCGGATCCGTCCAGTAGTTTCGGAGATACGAGGGGGGGCAAAAAATAGCCCCCCCCCCCCCCACCAGGTCGCGTTATAAACAGACCCCACCAGGGCGCGGGTTAAGCCGGCAGAAAATGAACGTAAAAAGTTTTTTCAAGCTTTCGAAGTGGTGTGTAATGTTTATTATTGTTAAAACGAAGAAGCCGCCCCAGGTGCATCACGTAGAACAGAACGGTATGCGAAAATCAACCACCCATAATCGAATGGATGAAACATCAAACATGCCGACGCCTGAAATAAGAACAAATCGTCTCCAAAGAATCCACTTACCCTCGATGTTAGGGATGCCAGTCGTTCCGAGTGCTAACTCGATTGCCTCGCTCGGGTCACCGTCGATCAGGTGTCCACCGGATCGGCACCGGCAGCTACGGTGCTCAGACTAACGACGAACACCGAGCGAGAGGTCACCAGAGCGTCCGACCGAATCGCCCAGGAAGCCACGGCAGCCGTATTTTGACGAGCAGCTGTGTCAGAGGGGGCGGGGCCTCGCCCGACGCCGACCAATCAGAGTGACGAGCTCAGTCACGGGTCAGAGAATTGCATTGTCTCGCTCCACAATGGGGTAGGGGTCCGGTATCAAAAACTGCTGAGCAAAGTTCTATGTTTTTGTGTGATGTGTAATAGTTTGACAGCATTCAGTAGTTAATGCAAATCTCCTCGGCTTCGCAGAAAACAAAATACATAAAAGATAATTCAGAATATCCTTCAGCAGGGCTGCATTTATTGTGCACATTCCACAATGAAAATCATCATCCGTCTCCATGCATTTATTAATGCATTTGTTGGAACCCATCTCACTAAGCAATCACATCACACATCAAGCAAGTAAGCACAAAACGCACCGTTGCAAACCAGCCAAGAGATGAATCGCAAAAATAAGTAGGTAAGTGTCCAACACATAGAGCCAAACACGCTCTTGAACGCTTTCAATTGAAACAACAAAGGCAATTACCCTCTTCAACAGAAGCCAATTCACAAAAATAATTCCACGCGCTGCCCGTAGCCAATTACCCGTAACTCACGTAAGAGCAAGGCCGTACCGTACCCTCGTATAGGCGTAAGAGTATATCTAAGCGTATGTGACCCATAATTCAGGTGAGCTGACTGACGATCCAGTCGATGTAGGCCGACACCTTGGTGTAGAGGCCGGGAAACTCGGGGTTGCCACAGCCCACGCCGGTGGAGACCACACCCACTAGCTGGTAGGTACCGCTCCCCTCATCCTGCGGAGCGCTCAGTACCATCAGCGGGCCGCCCGAGTCGCCGCGGCACGCGTCGCGCGGCTCACCGTCCCGGCTCTCGGCGCACACCTTGGTGCCCTGGAAGCCGCCCGGGAAGCGGCGCTCGAACTGCGGCACGCGCCGGTAGGCGGTCTCACAGACGGCCGGGTCGGTGACGCGCAGCGGCGCCTCCTGCAGCACGTCCGGTGAGTCGCCGTTGAACTCGAGCAGGCCCCAGCCGGCCACGGCCGCGTCCTGTCCCAGGTGGTCGGTGCCGGCCGGCGGCAGGCAGATGGGCTGCACCGAGTCCGTCAGCTCCACCGGCGCCGCCAGCCGCACCACGGCCAGGTCGTTCTGCGCGCCCGCGTACTGCGGGTGGCGCACGATGCGGGAGACGTTCCGCTGCTGGTGCTGCACCTCGTCCGGCAGCGTCAGGTCGTGGTCGGCGATGCGCGCGCCCACGGTGCCGGCCTCCTCAGGTTGCAGGCAGTGGGCGGCCGTGAGCACGTGCCGGTCGGTGATGAGGGTGCCGCCGCAGAACCAGTCGCCCAGCCCGGCGTCCGTCCAGCGGCCGAACAGCACCATCCAGGGCCAGCGGTGGACCGGCCGGCCGCCCGGCTGCAGTTCGATCAGCTCCACCGGGTCCCCGCCGACCACCAGTGTATGAGACTGACCAGGTCGGACTGCTTCCGCCTCAAACTTTGTCACGGTTCCTCTGCGGCTAGCCAGGCGCACGCGGCGATTTTCGGCTGGTTCCCGTCTGGTCCTTTGTTCGCCGCATTGCTGCGGCAGCACGGAGGGCGGCCTTTCGGTGACCTGACCTTCACCGTCGCAGCAAATGAGCGGAAGCCTACCGGAGAAACCGCAGAGCGCCGGCCTCTTCCGCAGAATGTCCTCCCGGGTCCTGATGGTGGCACAGTCACGGATGCTGACGCACTGCTGAGTTCCCGAGCATCGGGAACCAAAGTTGAAAGGCTGAAAGAATGATGATGATCCTACACCAGGTGCCGGGCGACGGCCGGGGGCAATGTCAGGAAGGTTGCCCACTGAAGGCTTGAAGAGGTCTGGAAAGAAGCCTGGTGATGGTCTGACGAGACTGGGAAGTTGACCCACCGACGGTCTGACGAAGGACGCTGGCTGCTCCACAGGCGACAGAAGGGCGGACAGATCGGCGTCCGAGAGATCAACTATCAATGCGTCAGCAGACGATTGTGCCGCCGTGGGCCCGACCTGTACGGCCACTGTCGCAAAGGCCACGAGAAGAAAGACACGGTTCTCCATGTTGCTGCGGCGGCCGCGGTGGCACGACTGACGCCGCCGAGAGAGCAGGGGCTCTTCAAATCCTCCCCACTGCCCTCTGACGACTTATGAACGTCACATTGAACGTCTTTAGCAGTAGCGTACAAGCGAATGGGGCTTTCCAGACGCCGCCGGCGGTGCATACCGGACATAAACGTCGCCCAGTTCAGATCGTAGCTGGAAATCCCCGCTCATCGCCCGGCCGGCAGGTATTGTCAGCCGACGTCACCCATACGTCACCCAAATAACCATTACGTTAACCATACGTCACCCAGGCATACCGGTTTTGACACTGTACATACAGACAGGGCCTCATTGCTGCTCTACAGACATTGATATGCGACATTGCACGGAATAAAACCTTGTTCTCGTAAAGCGAGCAGGTGATGCGCGGCTTGTGTGGATTATGGTATTGAAAGGGTTACAGGATCACGTAAGTTACATAGTGCCAGGTATACAGGAATTTTAAGAGCATTAGTTATATATAATCCAGAGGTTCAAAACGTCATTTGCAGCTGAAGATTCCCCAGCAGGCCTCTTCCATGTTTCTAAAAATGAAATGATTGTTTTTCCAAGCTGATCGGCTTCATGGAATTTTGTTTGACCAATAACACAGGGAAATCCCCACCTCTAATCCCCTTCGACTCATCCACGGATCAACACACAGCCGGTGTCATATACAGTAGATATATTGAAATGTATGGGTCGTAGCACCATCGCACAATGCACATCATCACCACTCCAAGAATATCGTAAGAGCTAACCAAGCACGTCGATCCCAAGTGAAACCGGCCGCGGTCACGGCCGCGGCCGAGTAGACGGTAGAAAGGTAGAGCGGCCCCACAGATATACCACGCAGGACGCGAGCGTATACTACGCAGGACGCGAGCGTATACCACGCAGGACGCGAGCGTATACCACGAAGGACGCGAGCGAGAAGGCCGGATAGCCCACATGCAAAGAGAGAGCACCACACCAGTAAAGCTGCTCCACCGAATGTCCAGTCAGTTTGTCCGTTCGCCTCTCCAACCATTTGCTCGCATGCCCGTCCGTCCGTTCATATGTCCGCCCGTCTGTCCGTTCGCACGTTTGCTCGTTCGCACGTACGCCCGTCTGTCCGTTTGTAAGTCCGCCCGTCTGTCCGTTTGTAAGTCCGCCCGTCCGTCTATCCGTCCGTCCGTACGTCCTTCTCATCACTGTCTCGTCTGTTCTTCGCAGGACTAGAGCTGATGTCCGCGACTCTCGCACCACCAGTATACGCCGTTTGTACATACACAAACATAGGAAAGACGTCATGTGTGCGTACGGATAGTCTCCGCCATGGTGTGGGATCAGGAGAGGAGGTAACTGGACTGGAGTGGAGCGGGCTGAACCGGCTGCTTGTGCTGCGGCTCTGCGTCCTAACCGACGCATACCGGGGTAGCTTTTGGTTTGCTGCTGTAAGGCAGTAGCTAAAAATCACTTTAATTTAATGTTGAAGCTCAGATTTGCAGGAAGGACTAAGGGGAGTTTGCAGTATTTGTGATCAACTCAGCAACGCCAATTTTGAGCAATCGGATTGCTGTGTTCCGACTGCTACCATTCTTCGTGTATCACTACCGAATGCAGGTTTACGGTAGAAGCAGTAGCTACAAGGCAGTGTCAGATGGCCATTGGCCCACTGACCGGGCGGGATAGTCAGCGCATAAAGAGCTTAACTTTTGAAGAAAACCTAATAGAAAATGAATCCCTGGTCTATTTACCTATCATGGGCTTAGTAATTAAATTAGTTACTTACACAGCCCAAGGACAAGCATAGAGTGGCTGGATTGGCAAAAAGCGTTACAGGGTCATGATTGGATGCAACTGGATCAACATTGTAATGATTGCATTGGTCTATGAGAAACAGAGGAAAAGGAAAGCACCCATATCAGCTAGGAGGTACTATGAAATCAAAGTTGCAGCGTATGCAGCAATATACGCTGCAAACACAACATACGTGTGAAATGCAGCCAAAGCCTCGTCATCACATACCACTCGAGCGTGACTGTGCTGTTCCATTTCACCCGAACTAGGGAGATCTACGGTAGGTTCCGCCGCTCACTCTCACACCCCTTCCATCTGATGAACTACAGACCCGGTCAGCACAGCGCGCCACCCCACATAACCACGGCTAACTCTAACTAAGTCAGGGCAATCAATGATGCAAAATGTATACAATCCACATCGAATTCAGGACACTTGTGAGTGGTCCAAATGTAAGATGGAGCAATAGCCTTGACTGAACATACTTTGTGGCAAGTCGTTGTCAGCACAGTTTAATTATCACAATTGCATATTTAGAATTGTTGATGATTGCTACCTACGCCACGATAAAGTGAAGGATGTAAAAGTGTAGCAATTTCTACACACCAAAACATACCACCGATTGAGCTTAGCTAACTAATTTCACATCGTATCGAGAACTAGAAATGAAACGCACATCCAGAAAGTGCTCTGCGGCACCGCGTTGTCGCGTGTAACAAATCACACCGCCTCAGAAATGACACCCTCCGGCACTCGGTAACACTCGGATTCACACTCCTTGATAGAACGGCACAGCGGGACCGCCATAGCAACATCGAAACCCTGTTCTTTGAAACAAAATAAGCACGGACTAGCGCTAGCACTGCGGACTGGTGAGGGAGACAGGCCGAGGCCGAGCTCAGCCGAGCTGGCTCCCTGCCACAGACCCTCGCATAGCTAAGGAGAAGAGTAACCACGCCGTATGTACACGCCAATTCGTTGAAAAGCGGAAAAGTCGGCCCCGAAGCTGACCCTAGAACCCACTACGCGGCACATACAAACGGGAACAATAAAACACCGAAATACACCAAACGAACACAAACTGAATGTGAACACCGATGAGGCAGTTTAGAAAAGCTACTCGGGATCAATGACGAAGCACGCACCAGGACTCGGGAGCAAAGACCAAACACTCACCACGAGGGTACCACCAGACTAGCAAAGAAGGCGACCGACTCCACTGGCCCAACACCAAACCAACTAACTCTAATCAACCGCACCGACTGGGCACCAGAGGGCCGCCCCGCACCGAGCGCGTGTTATGATCGCCGTTAGCTTGGTCTCCGTTCCCACAAGTAGCACACGGTGCAATGTATTGCACACCTCCCAATAAACCCGAAGTAAGTCTGCTATGCTCGGGGCATTTCTCCTCTCACATATCTGCACAGAACGCCACCCCCTGTCGGCATATAGCCATTACATCAGCAATGGTTCACTGCGAGCACAATGTCATCAAGTTGAATCATCGAATTGTTAAACCAAGTAAATTCTCGACGAGCAAATAAAAGCTTGACAATGAACATTTTCATGCATCGCCATAAAGTTATGATTGTTAATATCTACTAAAAATGCTCCTTGCTCCCTGCCGTGCCTGATTTTGGCGCACCTGCCGTAACCCCGTGTTCCCCGACTAGCCAGATAGTTCCGCTGCTGAGCCGGACTCCGCCTGTTTTGCGACAGACAGTCCGACTCCCGGCACAGCCACAGCTGCCGACTAGCTTCCTTCGATGTATCGTCATTGAGCCGAGACTTACTCCAAAACAAACTGGCCAAATAAGTACCTCGAGCGAACTGAGGCCACCCGCAGCGAGCAGATACCGACTGACGCCTCAGGGGTGCTGCCCTCCTGAGGACGCGACCAGCGGCCCAGACCTATGCCGCTGGGTGAGGGACGCCAGCGCGTGCCGCCGCTGACCGGGCCCAGATTCCCAGCAGCCAGGGACGCCAGGGTACCGGAGTCCCCAGCACGCCGGGCCGGGCCGGTCGGCGACCCGACTCGTCGCCGCGCCGCGCCGCAGACCGCCAAGTGCGCCGAATAACTGAAGCCGTACACGCGACACACAGGAGAGTAGATCAGTGGCCGGCGCCGTCCGCCGTCCAGCGGCGGTCCGGCCGCCGCGCCCGACCAGCGCCAACACTCTAGCCTAGCACCAAAAATAAGGCCAACCGTAAGGCGCTTATCAACGATGAATATATGTATGCAGAGAGGTGCCGCCAGGGAGGCTGCCCGAGCGTCCTGGGGCGACGCCGCATCGACCACAGCGCCGCCTAGCGGTCAGAAGAGAAGCTAAGCTTCACCTCACCGCCGAAAGATGACGCGCGCGTTCATATGTTGACCAGGTTTCGGTAGAACTTGTCGACGAAGCCGGACAGGTTGAGCACCTCGCCGACACCGACCCGGCCGTCCATCGAGATGAAGGTCTGCAGGTTGTTCGTCGACCCACCTGGAAAGCAGGAAAAACAATAACAGTAACGGAAACAGTGGACCGTAAAATAACAGCTGACGGTGACGACCTGGGTGACCTGGCACCACTTGAATGCCTCGCGACGAGCGTCTCGAAAGGTCAGCGCTCAATTAACAGTCGTCCGCAGTAGGTACCATCAAAATGTCGGGGTCGCGATGGCGAGGAACACCCCCTTGAATTAGCATAAACTAGCCTGTCAGCTACTGAAACAAAGCCCACGTGGACAATAGGGGTAAGGCGGTCAGATGGGGCTAACTTTGCTAATCGCCAGAATATGCAGCCTGGAGGAGTCCTTGGGATGCCTAAGAGAGTCGGTACAAATCAGATGGTAGACAATGGGTGCATGAAAGCCTATTCGCCAGCGGAATAGCTGCTTCACTAAGAAGTAAGAATGACGGTGCCATAAAACACCACCGTGTTGATAAAAAACGCAACAATCAAGAAAACATCTCTTCAAATTTTAAACAAAGCTTATCGCATAACCACTATCACCGAACCCAAAATACCGTCTGAAAACAGCAATCAGCGTGTACGATGCGAGCGTTGTGTCACTAAGATAGGGGAAGGTCAGGTGCGGTGGACAGATAGCTGATGTGTCCCACCACGCACTGGGCCCTGGCGCCCAGCCGGTGGGTCACCGCGGTCGATCAACATCAGGAACCAGGTCAACCGTTCCCCAGGGACAGCACTGCGGTCACCGCTATCGGGGTCCGCAGCCGCGACTGCGACATCCGGTCATCATGGTTCGTATATCCAGTATCCACTGCTGGCATATTTTGTCTGAATATTTAATGTTAGTGTTGAATATGTTATTGCATTGCAGCTGCGTAGTTATGAACCAGTCATGAGCGAAATTTCACAGCTATTTGTAACAACCCGTGACCTCCCCGTCACATCGGACACTTGACGCCGCCGGTGACAGTGTTGGTGACAGTGTTGCCCCCCCCCCCCCCCGGTGACAGTGTTGGGCCCCGGGGACAACACCGAGCACATCGCCATAGGGTGTTCGTAAAAACGACCGCCACCACGACCGCGACGTCAGGCTATCGTGTCTATAGTTGGCTGGGTATGTCTGATTTAATGTCCAAAGTGCATGCATGCACATTGCACAATCCACTGATCCACTGAAGCAGTGTAATCATGAACCATCCTTGAGCCTGATTACACCATCAAACTGCCATTCCCGCGCCATCAGCCACCTGTCGTCGGGCCCCGACCGCCGTTACGGTGCCATTCTGTCCGCGTGTTGGACGCCACCAGTGCACACCTGCACACCTGTTAGAGTCGGCACATCAACTATTCACGGGCTCGTTCGGCGCCAGTGACAGTGGAGCTGTCGATCGGCGGCGGTGTTACACGGCCGGCACGGCTCTAGCCTCTAAGGGCACCATCCGAACTGCATGGTAGCTGCCGGCCGGCAGCGCAGTGGCGACAGGACTCGACGAAATGTCAGAAAAATCGGATAGGCAAGTCTGGCAGGCGGAGTTGGACAGGAGCAGGCAGATACAGGGTGACACAAAAAAAAAAACGGTCATCACCAAATTTCGAATAACTTCGGAAGTTTTATTCAGATCATCACCAAACTTCGGCCACTTAAGGTCACACCTATGTAGCATGCATCCACCAAGTTTCAAGTCTTCACTACGAATACTTTTAGTACAGTGTGTGTTTTACTGACGTTCCACAATGTGCTCCAGGTGAGCGCCACGGCGCTGCAGGGCGTAGGCACACTTGCATCCGGCTGGCAAAGTTGTCGATAACCCGATGGCTGTGCATTTTACAGAATGCAATGGCCTCTGGAGACAGTGCTCAGGGGGTGTGCTACCCCTGAAACGTTATTCTTATCGGGTTATCGGCAACTTTGCCCGCCGGATGCAGGTGTGCCTACGCCCTGCAGCGCCGGGGCGCTCACCTGGAGCACATTGTGGAGCGTCCGTAAAACACACACTGTACTAAAAGTATTCGTAGTGAAAACTTGAAACTTGGTGGATGTCTGCTACATAGGTGTGACCTAAAGTGGCCGAAGTTTGGTGATGATCTGAATAAAACTTCCGAAGTTATTCGAATTTTGGTGATGACCGTTTTTTTTGTGTCACCCTGTAAATGGAAGGTGGCGGTCAACAAGAGGTGACTGCGCAACGGTCCTGATATACGGCATCCATACATCGCACAGTTCTCACCCAGTCCACAGTCGATTGCTCTGCTGATAAACTGAACTGCGACGCGATGTCTATCATTCAGTACCAAGGACTCTAAAATCGGTCCCGAGTGATCACTGAAGGCGATTTATGCCTCGATAGTTAAACCTTAAACGAAAATCAGAAATCACCATGTTGTCTGTGACCCCTGACACGCATTCATGCCTCCCAGACGCGCCGTGTGTCCCCGGTCCGGAACTCAGACACCATTACAGTGCCGCCCGTGAGCCGCAGGGCTGACTCCGACCGGACCACCACCGTGACACACAAGTAGGCCGCACTGCGGCACGGGTCCGTCAGAAGGGGGGAGGGGTGTCACACCGTCTCCAGGGGGGGGGGGGCGTGCCGTGACCGGCGGTCCCGACAGGGGATAGCCAGCAGCTCCAGACAGCACGGGAAGACACGCTGCAGTCACGGACTGAGCCGACAAATACCACAAAACATAGCAAACGGATGGGACGGGCGGCCAGACGGCTCAGGTCACGGCCGCAGCACTCAGACAGCTTAGGAGATTGAGGACATAGGATGGCACGGAAGTGGCTAAAGTATCCAAAATATTCTACCTAGGACTACCTTTCAATTCTTATTGTGCCTCAACTCAACACATACTCCCAGAACTCTGTCCTGCGTTCTTGATCAGGTGTCGCATTTCGACCAATTTCCGTTAGTCCCGCCCTGCCTTCCCTCCTCCCCGCTTACTGCCCTGCTCCACCTGCCCTCATTCCCTGTCCAGTCGTGTCCTGTCCGCTGCCCTGTCCTATCCTGTCTCCGTCGGTGACCGTCAGCCCAGCAGTCTGCGTGGGGTGGCGTGCCCCCGCGCCGTGTCCCGCCTCCTGCCCTGATTAGATGACCGGCACCGCGGCCCCCGTCCGACCCCACCGGCCCACCGCCCGGCATAGAGCGACAACGACGGCAAACATTTCATTCCGAACGTCCGGCACGCCACAAAGGCATTTTGATTTAGAGCTCCCACTGGCCGTAAGTCTTGGCAATTGGTAGCGTAACAAAGCTGGCGAGTCGTGACGGCGTCAATTTAAACATGAGCTGCGGTGGCAGCCCGCGCGTCAACATGAGTGCCAGGCCGGCGCCGCGCAGTCGGGCCCACACGGCTGACGACACATTAGCGGCGAAAACGAGGAGCGGATGTCCTTAGGCTGCAGAATGAAATTATTTAATACAGCTTCTTGTAAAGAAAATAAAAAGGAACGCTGACGCAAGAACAAGATGTCATGCCCAGCCAATCCTTTGTTTAGTTTATCCAACTATTACAATCTGGTACAGCTTCTTTCCGGGACCGCAAACGGGGTAGCGCGCGGCGGCTTTACATAACGTCTCGTGCAGAGCGGCACACGGCACTAACAGCCGTCTTCACCGCGCCGCGTGCCGTCCGCGGCGCCAGCGTTATAGGCGTTAATTAGCCGGCATTAGGCGGTCATGTGAGCCAGCCCTTCTGGCCTGCCGATGAGCCCCGCGCACGGGCGGCGACGCGCAAAGAGGCGGGTGGCGAGCTGAAAGGACTGAGGCGGGGCGTCGCGAAGGGGGAATGGGGGGGGGGGGGGGCAGAACCCGCTCACAGGGGCTATGGGAGGTGAGCGTCAGCCGTTTGACAGCTTGATATACAATGACATGGTTCGATGGTGAGCTGCCTGCCGCTGTGACAGAGTTTCTCTCCCCACGTTCACTGAACTCAACTGTGAAGCAATGCTGCAGTCAAACCATCGTTACAGTGAGGAGTGCATTGCAACACACTGCCAGCCCCTAGAGGCCCGGTGTGTTATGAAATGAAGCAATGGTATGAAATGAGCTAGACTTTGAAGTGATCCCGGGTGTATATTATCCGCGTACTTGCACTGCCACTTTGATCATATTAAATATTAGTGCTCAACGCATATCAGTTTTGAAGTCAAACTCCTTGGAACGTTCCCGAGCCTTCATTCACGCGATAAGTGGGGCCACGCTGCCAAGACCAGGCACGGACCGCTCACATCCAGCCTTCCACATACTTCACTCGGCCCTTTACAAGGTCCTTAATCATTCAATTAAGCGCCGCGTGCCTCAGTCACGTGTCGCCGCCGCGGTGTCGGTGGCTCCACCCGCGCACCGGCTCGGTCGGTGTCGGTGTGCGCCCGCTCACCAGTCGGTCAATACCCGGTGGCCGGCGGCAGCGGGCCGTGTGTCCAGTTTGATACACTGCCATCCCGGACGGGCGCGCCCGCCGCCCTCACGCCATAGGTCAGGCAACAGGCGACACGCCACGGTGCCACAGCCATCCGTCATGTTCGACACTGCACGGGGTAGCAACAGCAGCGCTGTATGTACGCGCCCTGAGCCAGACGAGCCTGGCGGCAGTGCGGGAACAGGTGGGAAATGGATGCCGAGCTCCGCAGCATACATCATAGCCCGCAGACAGCTTCAGTGATGGAAGAGGTCACTTTTTAGGTAGATATTGCTGTAGCTGGCAACAACTGGTACTGTCTAAATGAACATCAACACAGCTTATTTAGTTGATCACCAGGGACGACCTATCAGAAATGTTGACCTAGCTTTCAAAGGTTCAATTTAAATATTTTCGGCATATCCAACACAAGCTAAAGGTGAAGTGCATCCCACATGAGCCGTTAAGAGGAAGCTGATACTCGAACGTTCTTTTATAGCGGGGGATTGCAGTGCAATAAATTCCCGTCGGCGATCCCCGAAGACTTTGCTAATTCCGCCCAGACTTCCGATTAAGCGCTATTTTCGATGCTTGCATCAGGGCGCAAATTCTAAAGTTCACGGTGTTTCTTTGCTCATCAGTTCCTCCCTCCCTCCCCCTCCCCGTGTCCCCTGCGGGTGATCCGAGGTCGTGGTTGGTAAATCATGTGGGTCGTAATTTGGCCAGGGTCAGGTCAGGGAAAACGGGACAGGGAAGCACAACACAGCATACCAACGTTACCGACAGTTGCGGGTACAATGCAACCGCGACCTCAACTTTAACAAAGGCAGGGCAATCACTAAATAATGAATATCGTTATGTCTGTGACTATGACTCCGACGAACCATGACGAAACATACCCCTGTGGCCATGACTGACTGGCTGAAGCGGAGTCAATGGGTTCGGCGGCGGCGGCTCCCTGGTGTGTGGCGACGCTATTGCTATCGACAGGGTCAGCGGGCACGATATCGGCGGAAGTGTTACGGTGCATGGCGGGGCTGTTAGACGCCACACGTCAGGTGAACGTCGGTTCAGGGTGATGTGGGGTGCAGTTGATGACGGTGAATGATGTACGTGACGCAGGTGATGGTGGGGTGATGTTTAGTTTGATGAGGTTTGGGTGTTGCAGGGCGATGCAAGGCTCTGTAGAACTTTGTAGGGTGTAGAGTGATGCGAGTGACGATGGAAAATAGTAGCTTATGTTGAGAAGCGTTATGACCCGTTGTTACGATCCGTCTGGTGATGTAGGCTGTACAGCAGCGCTGGCTGAAAATCTCTAACGTCAGGTGACGTTCACTGACGCTGACTGACGCTGACTGACGTGCTCACCGGGGGTGCTGATGGGCGGGTACGGAGGCGGCGGCGACGCCCAGACGCCGCCCTCTCGCTTCATGTGTGACCGGTCCGAGGCGAACGTACTGAGGAACTCCGTGGCCGGCACCACCCGGAAGAACCTGCGGACAGGGCGGGGCGCCGTCAGAGCTGCAGACATAAGGAGTAGACACAGAGAGCACACAGTACTGACGGCGGAGGAACTCTGCCACCGGCACCACCCGGAAGAACCTGACGGACAGGGCGAGGGCGCCGGTCAGAGTTATGCACATTGCACATATGACAGGGCATAAGTCACACAGTGCTTGACCGGCACCACCCGGAAGGGCTTGTGGGACACGGACAGGGCGTCGCGCGGTCAGAGCTGCACACATGACACAATATCACACACACACACTGAGGACTGACGGATACCAAGTTGTCGGACAGAGCGCGGCAAGGTCAGAGGCTGCACTTATGACACGGTAGCAGACACACGGAGACACAGTAGGGTTACGCTGGAAGGCGAGGTACAGGTGTGGGTGCTGAAGGGCGCATAATCGCTGAAAGTAACGTGACAAGCGCAATAGCGTGACACACATATAACTGGTTTAACGGGCATACAGCCATGTAATGTTTGTGACCCTTGACATGTTTATATGTCAGCACTACACTATGACAAATGTGGGTGGCGACGAACAACTATAAAAGAATTGGAAACGAAAGGGCCATAAACATAAAGTAACAACCAAACTGTTTTGCCCACGCGAAACCTAACAGTCACACAGGTAAAACAAACATGAGGTTTATCACCAACGATGACGATCTCCAATCACATAACGAGTTCAGAGACCAGTCACCAGTAAACATCCGTTCATCATAAGCAGAAAACCGTCGAGGCAGTAGTCAATTGTCAGTCATCGCTCGTTCGTCATCTGAGTTGTCTTTCGCCCGTCTTCTGGGTCGTCTTTCGTCTTTCGTTTCGTCCCTCGTCCACAGTCACTATCCGGCCTCGTTTTCCGTTCCAAAGTGAGTCGCGACTCGACGGCCCAGCGTCCGGTCGTCCCGGCGGGGCGCCCCGCGGTGACGGCCATTTCGACGTGGACCACTCTCGCCGGCCGTCGGCGGTCAGTCCGTGACCTTCACCCCCCCCCCCCCCCGGTACCCCCTTCAGCCGTCCACCCGGCCCCGTCCGTCCGAGGCGACTGGCCGCGACGTCCGGAACAGACGCATCAATTTTGCACGCCGCTGGCCAAACAGAGCGGGCGGCGGGGCGGCCTCCCTCCGGTGACCGGTGGGCACAGTCCGGTCAGCCAGTGCAGCGGGGCGCCCGACAAACTGGGTCAGCATAACACTGAGCGGCCCCAGCTGGCGCCCTGGACACCGAGCTCGAGCTGTTGGAAGTAGGGGTATTTCGTCTGTAGGAAAAGTGTCGTTTTTCATTGAGGGTGTCTCCGTGGAGTCCTAGCACTGACGTCTGTCCAGCATTAACGCTAAAGCAGCGCTCGGTGACTTGGTTGAGTCATTTGTTTACCTTTCCGCTTGTACAGCACTAATTACTGGGCTCTTCTGTCCAAGCACTTCCCTCACTTTACTCAGAATTCAACTCAACTTCCACACAAACTCCTGTGTTGGTTGTGCACGCCAAAGGTGTCTCCCATTGAGTGATGTTTTCATCATGTAACATTCAGCACGGCTGGGGCGTTCAGCGCCAACTTGTACCAACAACAGACCGAGCCGTCTTTGAAACTCCGGGGGCGTAGCGAAAACAGCCGTCGCCGGTTGGCAAACAGGCCACCCGGCGCTACCAGAGACGTCGGTCCTTCCGTCTAACCCGTTTCAGTCTCCCTTTGTTCTGTCGTGATAGCAAAGTAAGACTATCCGCTCCTGCCGTATGCGAGCTCGTTCGGTACCGGTTTTTGTTATCATTAATTGACGATACCAGCCTCCTATCAACGATCACTGCTCAGCTACCTTTTAGTCCATGAAACAAAACACGTTCATCGCAAAGATTCATAGGCTTTCCACCATCGCTTGGTTTCGTTGGCGCCTATACAATGCGTCACCCACCACACATTTAGGCCTTTTAAATATGTAACAACTGCCATGATTGCTACCGTTTAATACAGCAACTACGAACGAGGTGCTACTGCTTGCTTTTGCAGTTGCACCTCCGCGACTGCTTCTCGTACCACAGAGGCATCATCCCACCGACATAAGCTACTGAAGCCGGACAAGAGACCTGCACCTCGCCCCCGCGTCCCCGCTCCCCTGCACGTCGCCGCCGGTCAAATCACTAAATGGCGCGTGTCAGTGACGACCACAGCTTTACGGAACGGTAAGTAAGCTGTCTTACCACGCCACAAATCCACGCGACTTTGCAGCGAGTATGCCTGTCAAGTGAAGGCCGTGACGGGGCGTCATTCGCCGGCGGCAGCGGCAGGCGATGACGCCAGCCTGTGTCCGATGACGCCACCGCCGCGCTCGGCCCAGCGACGACCAGCGGGGTGCCGCCGACACTCACTTACCGCTGGACCAAAATACACGGTCACTCTGGAGCTAATGGCTGAATTTACGGTAGCCAGGGCGAAAATGTGGCAGTTTTGGCTAAGTACCTCAGCTAAATGGATAACAACGTTCGTGCACGGCGGTAGACCAGAGAAGCAGCTAATGGTGGGGAAAATCAGCTAGGATCAATAATACAGCTGCAGCAAATAGCGCAGTTTAACTACGCACTAAGCGTACAAATCCATTGGCGTCTCAGAGGGCCTTTCATTTTTTTTTTTGCCTTGCGATAGTTCTTAATATTCACATTGAGGAACAGTCATCTGCCATAGTAAAATCCTCCAAACGTTGAACGTGATTATTGATCATTGATCACCCAGCTGAAAGCCTTTTGTCCGTAGCATGCTATTGCTATGCGACCACTGCCACTATCAGTCTCTGCCAGGATTCAGCAGGGACGCCAAGAGCTTCCTACCAGCTCTCCCGTCTGCCAGGTGAAAGATACAACGTTATCCCGACAGAGCTACTGAGGAAGTCATCGGTATTCTCTAAGCTCATGCGACCCATGGCCTTCAGCGCCAGCCCACGCCTGCGGCAAGGTTAGAGATCAAGGCTGACGCCTACAACAGCCCTCTCCCTATCGACATCCAGGACCCCGCCGGGACTCGCAGCCCCCTGACGGTACCCAGCCCTGCCCCCACCCGCAGCCCCGTCACGCCCCCCCCCCCCCCCCCCCGCTGCCACAGCCCCGCCGCGGCGGCCACAGGCAGCATCGCGTGGTGGTATGGCTACTTGTAATTATTCCGAGTCGACATAAACGGCGCCCACGGCGGCCGTCCGTCCCATCGACCCGACGGCGTACACGTGCGGGGCGCACACTACCGACAGCACACGACAGCCACCGCACACACGGACAGCACACAGGGACCGCACAGAGCACACACGGACAGCACATGGGGACCCGACAGCGCACACGTGCGGGGCGCACACGCCGACCGCAGACAAAGCGCACGTGCAAAACACTGGGCGTGCAAACACCACGCTCACTGCACGGCACGGAGAGATTTTCCTCTTAGAGCGCGCGCAGTACCTACTGTCCCCACAATCACATCTCATGCATGCATTCATATGTTACAGGGAGTTTGAGAAATCTGTGAGTTTGCAAACTCCCTAGGGAGTTTGCAAACTCCCTGACCCATCAGTGAGTTTGCAAATTCACTAGGGAGTTTGCAAACTCACTGACCGGTCAGGGAGTTTGAGAAATTCTAGAGCGATTGGGACAAATAAAAACAAGTGTGCAGAATGTGGGTGGCACACGTGCCGTTCGTGATGTTAAAACAAAGGCGGCTAGTTGTATGGCCTATTTAACAGTCGCACGCTGACAAAAAGCCTACAGATCATATGCACACCATACTTTTGATTTTAAATTGTTCAGTGATCTAGCCCAAACATGCAGCGCCGCTTTATTTAGTCATACATTTATTTAGTTCACGGCCCAATTGTATCCGTTCCACAAAAGTGTGGCTATTCAAGAGTCAGGCTCAATATATCAAAGTAGAAACAGCTCAGTTGGTCATTTATGCTAAAGCATATAAGGCATACGTGTGGAATACTTGTGTGGAACGGATCTATAATTGGGACGTGAACTAAGTATGACTAAATGAAGCGGCGGTACATGTTTGGGCTAGATCACTGAACAGTTTAAAATGTTAAGCAGGTATTTATGAAGTGCATATGATCTGCAGGCTTTTTGTTAGCGTGTGACTGTTAAATAGGCCTTACAACTAGCAACCTTTGTTTTAACCTCACGGACGGCACGTATGACACCCACATGCTGCACACTTGTTTTTATTCGTCCCAATCGCTCTGGAATTTCTCAAACTCCCTGACGGGTCAGTGAGTTTGCAAACTCCCTAGTAAATTTGCAAACTCACTGATGGGTCAGGGAGTTTGCAAACTCCCTAGGGAGTTTGCAAACTCACAGATTTCTCAAACTCCCTGTAACACATACATATTAACTACATATATACATAAACATTATATATAGGACGCAAGTACACGGACTGTGAAGTGCGAATTCAATGGTAGCGGTATCATGCGCCAGATCGCTCTTTGGCACGAGCCTATAACTTAATCGGTGAATTATACACTGATACACTGATCGCTACCGTGACAAATATCTTAGGTACTTCTGCCTAAAATGTAAGAAAAATAGAACGAAAAAAAAACTGTCGAGAGTGGATGTCATCCAGCTTTCTAGGAATCTCGACCACTACCTACACTAACAAAATACCAACAAGCATTGCTGTCTAAATATTTGGCCAGTGAATGGCGCCACAATCCTTGCAACGCGAATTCCAGTTACACGTAAATCGTCTATCATAACATAGGATTTCAAGAAACAACAGAAGATACAGCGCCCACTAGGTCATGCGACAAGACCAGCTATGCATCACTAACCGAGTTTGCACGCCGAGGGCGACAGTACCGTTTCCCTCACTCAATGTTTGTGGATTATTAAGATGATCATCAGCACGCGTGGCGTATGACTACTACTAATGGCTCATTGAATGGCCCACTGCCTGGCCGCCGCCGGCAAGAAATAGCCGCTGGCTGTTTGTTGGTCGCCGAGACCCGTGTGAATGCGAGCGGACCGCGCAGTCAGGTGACCAGGAAACAAGCGAACAGCTATTCAGTCCAGGGCTGCGGAGTCTGAGTCGGAGTCGGAGTCGGAGTCGGTCGGGGTCGACAGTTCTGCCCGGCCAAAATCTTACTGACTCCGATTCCGGAGTCGCAGTTAACGCTGCATGGCTCAACGTCATGCACTGCATCTGTTTACTTGACGATACTGCACTCGAAATTGAATTTTGTCGAAAAAAAAATTCTGTTTTGAGGAACGTTTTCAGAGAAAGAAGCAGAAGAGGGTGAATGTCCCAGAACCTGCTTTTTAAATCTGCATGTTATTTTTAATGCATATTTGCAACGCAACGCAACGCCTTTGGAACGCACAAGGAATCGTTTCAGGCAAGATAAAAACATCTCCATTATGAACTTCAATATCATGATAAGGGTATCAATAGAACCGTCCGGAGTCGGAGTCGGAGTTAGAGTCTGAGTCGGAGTCAATTTTTGAAGCCGGCACGGGTGGAGAATTGTGCTGGACTGGGGGTGCTCGAGCTCTCCCAATTCCACGCCGGCCACGCCGGCTTGGCTTTGGAGCCGCGGCCGGGCGGCGCGGGTCAAGGTCACCGCTAGGCGGCGGCGGATTTGCTGCGCCCGAGCACCCCCAGCTGGTCACAATTCTCCACCTATGGAAGCCGGAGTCGGAGTCGGAGTCTCGGAGTCACCCTAATATCCATCGACTCCGCAGCTCTGGTTCAGTCAGTGTCCCAGTCCCAGTGGATTGTTCTGGGGTGCTGGTGCGGAGTACACGCATTTAGGACCGTTGTCAAAGGAATGGGCAGGCGACAGTTGTACGAAGTGATTCATGCATAATCAAAGACGTCAGTATGCGGTAGGTAATAAGTATATATGAATACAGCATATCCAATCCATACCTACACGCCTCCAGGCTCAAACCTAAATAAATTTCCTCCACATTAAAGACGATATTTTTCCTCCACATTAAAGACGATATCGCGTATTCATCTCAGCACTGGAAGTGAGATTAGTAAATGGCCGATAAAATAGCGCTACAGTGAAGATAAGTTTGGTAATATATTTCAGAATAAGGAATCGATAATAAAACCAGCGAATGGCGATCGCCTGCGCCCACCGCAGCGGAACCGGTAGGCGGTAGCCTGCGGTCCTGCAGCCGGTCATGTCGACCCAGCCGTCCCTGAAGGCGCCGGCCCCACTCGCCACGCCGCACTGCTAATGACCTCAGGAGGGGGCGCCGGGAGGGGGACGGGGGGGGGGGCGCGGCCATGGCGCAGCGGTCGTTAGACACGGGAAACAGCCAACGTCGCAGGACACACATGAACAAAACAACCAACTCGGCAGTAAATACCGACCAACGGCGATGTTTTGAGCTTCAGCTTGAACGGCTTGAATTATACCGTGCCGGAAATCCGTGTGTCTATTCTCTCCAAATAACAAGCTCGGCAGTCGGTTTGTTGTCGTTTCCTGAGGCACCATACGCTGCAGTGAGGAAGTCATCACAGGGCCTCTGCCGGCGGCACTCTCCGCGGGGCACCATCCGCCGAGGGGGCACGGAGGAGGGGGGGGGGCACTGCTGCAGGCAAAACAACATCGGGTCGGCGGCCGCAATACGTCAGTGGCGCTCGGCGGCTGTCCCAGCCACCCGGTAGTCGGTGGCCGGTCGGCCGCAGCAGCTCACCTGCGGCAGCGCGGCCCCCCGAGGCCGGCCACCGTCCGAGCGGCAAATGGAAGCCAACCGGTCAGCGGGCACGGAAACCAGCTAATTAATAGGTAGCCCACCTACGGGAGGAGTGGTTCGAAAGGCAAAAATAGGGCCGAAGAAGCGGAGAACCGAAAAAGACATTACAGTTGTCAGCGAATAGCATCAAGATGGCAAATCGCTAAGAACGCTTTGATTATAGAACCGTGCGAGAATCGCAACGTTTTCTGTATTCTGCAAACTATTCACAGCCGTATCCTGACCCATTTCATCCACGTCCAGTAGCCCAGTTCTCTTGCAGGCTGCCCACTGTGCGATGTATCTGCACTGCAGTCACACTGGCAGAGCGATTTGCAGGCCGCTGGGCGGTCGGCCAGCGCCGGCACTGTGGCGGATTCTTCAGAAAAGCCTCCGAACGCCCCAATAGACGTCCCAAACAATGCATAAAATCACCAGAGCTTCCGAGCGCTACGAAGCTTGACAGCCCAGCTGAGGATATTACTAAATCGACGAAATCTGTCGGATTCTCAGTACCGCTACGACCCATGGTCTATCGAAAACCCGCGGCTGGCAACCACTGCCGATTCCAATCTGGTCTTTGTTTTACGAGTCGTACTAGGTCAGCATGCATAAAGCTCCTTTGAATCTGGAAGCTGGAATACTCTGCAGTCTGCATGTAGACAAGGCTAGATCATAATTCGCAAGGATCCAGAAAGCACGTCACTCTGAGCGTTTGCATTATACATACATCCGTGCATACCCATCTGTGACTGAAGAGAGATGTTCTCGCTAAAAATATACTGTTTTACGCAACCCCTCCTGCGGATGAGTCGACCAGAAGCGCGGCAGTAGGTATACTCGTAAGTTAAGTAGGTTGTGGCAGACGTGTGTCCGAACATAGTGCAGAGCCCCGCTGCCTGGCCTGCTGGCTGGATCAAGCTATCGGGTTAATGCTGCCCTGTTTGCATACTACGGTCCACTTCATGCAAAGTGCATCACCAGCGACTCTATCGCCGTCCGGCTAATGACGGCAGCTATCTATGCCGTTTATCTTAACTGCAGCATAAAAACGTGCGGCCGCCGGAATATAGACAGGGCCTTTGGAACACGACGGTACGGCACGACAGAGGTTCCTTGAAAAGCCGCTCATTTAGCCAGAAAGTGGAACAAAGGAAATCGGAAAGCAAATGACGTGGAACACGAAGCCCCTGACAAACAGCACAAAACTCACGAGCGCTTTGTGAAGAAGAGTCCGGATTTAACAAAAATCAATGGTTGAACCCCACATATATTACATCCTGGCTTGCCTTCATCATCTACGCCTCTCATTCCACAGCACAGCCGTCACCTGCAATACTTATCCAAACATAGCTGTTGTTTGACTTCCAATTGCTCTGGTAATACCGCCTATCGGAGGGGTTCCTGACGACCTAATCAGTGGTGGGTGGTAACACCCCAGAAACATGATCTCAGTGATCCAAACCAATGACCTGACCAATAGCAAACACCATTACGTGTATTTGACCCATCACTACCGCTAACCTGTAGCATCCACGACCTTCAGCCTCAGGTCGCGGGTAATGAAACTATATGGCAGCTTGATATTGTGGTCTCTTCCACAAATAGCCTTCGTTGTGAAATATAAGTGACCTGAGGACCCTTGACCTGACCTCGGCCATCTCACCGCCGGCTACCTGTCGTAACCGTGACCTCCGATCTATGATCCGTGACCTGCCCCCACAACCCATCGTCGTGCCCGTGACCAGTCGTGCCCGTGACCTCCGATCTGTGACCTGTGACCTGACCTCCCCTGGTCACCAGCAGTGATCCACCGCGCCGGTCGGTGACCCACCTGTGGTGTTCCGGATGTAGGATCTGGTCGGTGCGGAAAGTCTCCGTGACGTATTTGTGGAAGTAGGTGGGGAACGGCAGTTCAGAGTCCATGTCGTACACCAGACACCGAGAGTCCGGCTGGTACATGAAGATCACGTGGTAGTCCTGTAACGACATATAGACCGCGGTCAGTTCCATAAGACAGTCAGACGACGATCACGTGGTAGTCCTGTTATGAGAGGCAGGTCACGGTAAATCCCACAGCGCAGTGAAGACACAACAAGTATGTGTCCAAAAATCACACGACTGAGTGTTGTGCGATGCAAAGATGTGTAGGGGTGAAGGCAAATGTATAGGAAGTGTAAATAAGAGAGTGTAAACAAAGTCGGTAGTTTCTGCACGCCAGTACCTATGTGGTAACCACGTGTGTCGCCGGCCGGCACGGGAGTTCCCGGCGCAGACCGATTCGCGCGCCAACTTGTGACGTCGCTACCCCGCCCCGGCGCTGGGGGGCGGCCCAGGACGTGTCTGTTCGTGAACTTTGTCCCATCACGATGCGACCGCGTGCCTGCGGCCTACAGCACCACACCTACCCAACATGTGACGAGCAATATCGGTTACACTTATGAATTCTACATTCCACCCAAAAATGCATTCTCTGATGCCTCTAGCTCCTGCTTTTATTTACAGTATAGGGCTCTGAGCCAGCTCATGCTGCTTAGCCCTGTTCCCCCTGTCAGTCATATCTTTACCTATCGATTCGCAGGTCAAAAACATCGAAATTTGCTCTAACAGCCGCCTCTGTCGACCGTCCCAGTACAAACACGTCTTGGACAATCCACAGCGGCAGGAGGCGTCGTCGGCCGTTTACCGTCGAGTGCCGTACCTCCCCCGGCCCCGCCCTCCCCGGGGGCACAGTGTCCGGCCGGCCGCGCGCGTCCCGCCGGCCCGGCCGGGCTGATTTATTCGCTGCAACTCGCCGCGGCCGGCGCCGACGGGGGCCGTTTGCACAGACACATAAACAGGCTGTGTGCGAACGACGGTGCAACGTCGTAAACGGCGCTGCGGGAACGGCGGTGCACGGCCGTAAACGGGAGCTGCATCGGCCATGGCGCGTCGGCCGCTCGGTCACTGGGACAGCGAACAGACGGCTGGAGGATACCGGCGCGGCCACCGACACCGCACCGCACCTACCCGCTCCAGAACTGACCAGGGACTGGGACTGAGACTCCCACTAGCCCAACCCATGGCCCAACCCAAACCCGGCCAAAAATTCATGCTATATTACTTCGCCCTTTACTCGACATGGATGAGCGAAATGGAGCCAGCCAGCTTGACCCGTCCTTGACCCCGACCAGCGTCCGCCCATGACTGGCCTGACATGCAGTCAAACTGGCTCTGCGTGTCCGCTGCACTCGTCCCTCCTCAAAGAAGCTCTCTGACTTAGCATGCCCCCCCCCCCTCGAACACACACCCAAACGCTGATCTGAATCAAACTGGACGAGTCACTCCACTTTACGTGCCTACGTCGATACTACAGGCTTCCTTGGTTGTATGTCTGGCATTACCCCATAACTCCGAACTCAAAGCTGTACCTACACTAAGACGTAATTTATCACTCAGTTCGCCCATACCTTTCAAACCGTCAGTGAGGCGGACGGCGCACTGAAGTATAGATGGGAGAAGGAGCGTTCAACAATCAATCTTTTGAAAACGTCTAGAAAATGGACCGGCGGCTGTTATTCACGCCACCACAGCGCGGCATCGGGAAGGTATTCGCACCGTCCTCCGCCGGTTTCAGTGGGCGCACTCCACAGAGTACTCCAGACCGTCTGGGACGCGGAAGGCGGAAATTATCTCAGGAGACCGAACAGTTCGCAGATTGACTCGGAATAGGAAAGTCGGTCAGTCGAGGAGTTCGGGGTAATGGTCGTAGAGCACAGAGAGACTGATGTCAGAAAGTTCAAAGCTCTTCCTGTACCTGCGACAATATTCAACCAAAAATGGCGACCTTCAATGGAACTCAGATTTTCCTTAAAGATATTCCATGAGTAATCGATCGCTAAAAGCTCATTCACCAATCACTGTCGCTACAAATTACTGGAAGTGGTTCGTAGGCGTCTTGTTGCACTTATTTCAGCGGACGACACAAATCCCTAGTTTATAGAGCCGAAAGTTTTTTAATCGTTGAGCTCGCATTAAGCGTGTTTGGCAGCGAAGTTGAGCCATAAAGCCATCCTCGGGTGAGCCATTATGTCCACAGCCGATTACGTTGACAGCTGGCACTTACAGCAATGGGCAGGCAGCGCTGGTCGCCGCGAGCGCCCGCCACCCGCGCCCCTATCAGGCCTCTGTCAACAATGTCATGGATGACACTGGTCGATACAGGCGCGGCCGCACCTCCGCCTCTCTCGGTCAACACCCTCCGCCGCCGTCCGGCCCGCCCCAGCGCCGGCCATGGCCGATCGGCCGTCCGGCCGCAGACGGCGGCAAACAGGCAGCCTGATTGCCCCCTCCCCGCTCATCAGCACCGCGGCACTGCCAGCTGGCGACGCCACGCCACGCCGCGGAGCCGCAGTGGCCGACAGGTAGCCGGTGACCCGCGGTGGCCGCTTCCGGGAACCGCCACAGCCGGAGGTCACTCCGCTCCCTCCACTCGCCAACGGCGGCGGCGGCGGCGGCGGGGAGGTGGGCCAGTGCCGCGCACCGAGCCATCGACCCGCCGACGGACGAACGACGCACCGCCGCCGCAGCTGACCCCGCGCCAGCGACCGGACACCGCGGGGCACCGGAGTGGAGTGCAATGGAGGTAAACACCGGCAATGGGTCCCAGGCGGTTCGAGAAAGTACGGAAGGTTCGCACAACTACCGTAAATAAAGTGATACGGCGAATGAAACGCTTCCTATACGGAAGTCAATGGCTCGCAATGGAAAGCAATGAGCAATAAAAATAACGAAATTCACAATGAAAAGCACTCAGCACCAGCAGGTACAAACAAGAAATACTTCGGAGTTCGGACTTGGAGCATTTCGTATGAGAAATACTACAAAGTAGCAAAACAAAGAAAATGTGCCAAGACTTGGCCGAAAATATTACCTGGCGATGATTAGAGAGGGTCTCACTGATCACAAAACCGGGACGATAGGAACAAGGATGGAAAATGAGCAAAATCTTCTCAATTCTCTGCGAATTTTTTATGCTGGCTCAGAACGAAGGCAAAGTCCATGACCGAATTTTGAATAAAACGGACACCATTCGGTGACACTCAGACACTGTCAACCGTGGTAGTGTATAAGCGATAACCACCGGCCCTACTAGACCCTAAAGAACCGAGAACAAGAGCTTGATGAGTCTGTTCTCAGCGGTTCTGGGAAATCAACATAAATAGCATCCCACCAAGATACCAGACATCCGCGAATTTGTAAATCAATGAGGACCGTTTTCTATTCACAAATCCTCATTCCTCTCCGCTTTCCTCCTCCGTTTGCATAATGGATCGTCAGGACGAACGGCCATGACCTACGCAAACGGCCACGACCCTAACTGTGGTGTTCGGTGGCCACAAACACCTACACAGATAACTGTCCCAGATACCTATTAGGAATGTGTATTGCCGTGGCCTAAACAAGGAGGCGAACAGTGGTATGCATACGGTGTTCGGCATGTTCCAAAAAATCACCAAAACCCCCCTCGATTACGACAAAAGGTGACCCGACCCGCGGTGCTGTCGGTGCCGGCGGCGACCTACCCAGGTGGCGACCCGTGATGCCGTCTGTGTAGTCTCGTGACCTCCCATGATGACGACCCGTGGCGACCCGTCCCGTGATGTTATTGTTGTGACCTACCCAGATGACGACGCGGTCCTCTGTGCGTCCGGCGCGCTGCCTCCACAGCGGCACCGTCTGGTTCTGGTTGGAGATGAACACCGCGTAGCAGTAGGGCAGCTCCTGCGGGTACTTGTCCTGCACGTGTTGGCACAGCAGCCATACGTTCTCCTCACTGTGCGGGAAACAGGGAAGGGTGGGGGTCAGAGGTCGCTGTGTGTGTCTGTTACCGACGGTGTGCAGCGTGTTAAATCTAATTGTGTCGTAGTTCATACACATCGGACACCATGGTCTGCCCATGGCACATTTGATTACAAGTATGAAATTACAAAACACCACCATGATTAAATATGCATAAGATGAACCCTTACAGTAGATATCCCAGAGGCCCAGAGACAAGGCTGACAATCATTCATTTGGGGGAGTAAAAACATGCCCAGAGTTTCAATCTGGAAATACAAATACAGTATGGCTGATACTCAAACCAAATTGGTATTATACATTTTTGCAAGCATCCAGAATAGTCAAACCAAATTGGTATTATACATTTTTGCAAGCGTCCAGAATAGTCACAAGCTTGAAGGTTCTGTCATATACCTAATGGCACGGTCACCAAGCTTGAAGCTAACGTTAAGTATGACTTACATTTAGCTTCAAAATAAAATGCTCATCCAATAACTGACATTGAAATGAGGAAGGACATGGGTGCCTAATTGCAATCTTACCAATAGTGTAAGGTGTGTGTGCATTCCTTTGCAGGAGGAAGAATGGCTTTGATCTTCTGGCGCTCCGGACTCTCCATTGCCATTGCTTGAAGTTGAGATGTCTGAAAATCATAAAACAATGTGCATTAGTTAACTAGAGTTACCATCTTCCTGAAACACACAAAAATTCAAGAAAACATTTAATTTAAAAACATGAAAAAACCAAATGTAAATAGAACTCAAACTGTGGTCTCTCTCAACTCAAATTGTGAGTCAGCTTAAGGGTTAAGAATTGAAGACATTTTTTCAAATGATGCTCGGTACGAAAGTCCTTACATTGATCAACAGAAAAAAGATACTCAGGGAATTTTTGAATTCCAGAAACTAAAACTGAACCTGACCCATTCAAACATTCCTCTATTCCAAATTGCGTTTCTCACTCTTGAATACGTTACCTCTGATAGTTCACTCCTCGAATTAGGTAACTGACTATCCTGACTATGAGACACACCAAACACAGGCACAGAACCCGCACAATTCCTCAAAATCAAGCACGAACCCAACACAACCTCCACCACCGCTGTTCGTGTTGTAAATGAGCCCGGAAGACAACATACAGGTGGCAGCACAATCAATGAGAGTGCTGCCATATGAAGTTATTTCTTGAAGGTATTTTTTCCGTAGTTCGCTAAAATGCCTTTCCCACACCAAACGGTTGGGATAGCGGGCCAACCCAACTAAACTTATACCGAGACAGCGATCCTTCAACTAATCCTATCAAGGAATGACCTGTCTCGGTGGCCGCCGAATGTGGTTTTGTTGTCTTCAGCAAGCCACCAAGCAGCTGGAACGGGAGGCCGGCCCGGAGGCTGGGACGGGGAACGGCGAATATTGGGACGGCGGACTGGAATGACGGGCCAACGGGATGAGACATGGGAGCAGCGGGATGGAGCGCGGAGACCGGCGGGCTGGGACACGGACAGGAAGTGACAGAACAGCGGACAGAACGAGGGTAGGGCGCGGTGTGGTCCCCTCTGGGACGAGGGCTGGAACGACTGCCGTTCCCTGTAGCAAGCGAGGTGAACCGCCAACCGTGCATGACAGTAGGCCGGTGGTATCGCATAAGAGATAATCACATTGTTCGGATAAACTCTTGGTGAAACCGATAATCTGTTATTTGCTAGTCACTACCTAAGCAGTGTCTGGGGATTCAACTTATTAAAACTCCCCGGACGGCAAAACAAATGTTACAGTAAAAGGGAAGCAGTGAAACGGAAAAGGTTGTAGGTAACGGAAGAACGCATTGTCGCGCAATGAACGGTTACGCATTTACCTGACGTAATGAGTTAAACAAGACTATCGATTTGGCTAACGTGCTTTGATAGAAGTGTTTCGATAACTTTCAATAGACTTTAATAGATGTTTTGATAAGTGCTTAAACAGACGTTTAAAAAATGTTTGGTACTAGCGCCTAAACAGGCTCAACGCCTAAGCAGGACGTTAAAATATTTTTGATAGTCATTATGGCTAATCAAGCTTTCATTGATGTGACTTCACTCATTATAAATACCTAGGCGTCGAAATAAGCGTTCTAACAAACATTAAACGTTCTAATAACCGTCCTACCAAACGTTTCAATAAACGTTTCAATAAACGTTTCAAGAAACGTTTCAAACTTTCAATAAACGTTTCAATAAACGTTTTAATAAACGTTTTAATAAACGTTCTAATAAATATTGTTATGGACGTCCTCATAAACGTTCTTATAAACGTTCTAAGAAACTTTATAATAGACCTAGTTAATAGGCGGCTCAATAGGTGAATTAATTGACGTTTCTATAGGTTTTTTTTTTTAATAGCCAGTTAATGGACGTTAAGTAGACGGTCAAATAGACGGTTCAATAACATGTTCAATAGTCCGTTTAATAGCCTGTTCAATAGAGGTTCAATAGACGGTTCAATATACGGTTCAATAGACGATTTAATAGACTTCACAGCAGACACTTAGGCAGACGTTTAAATAGACGTCTTAATCGACATTTAACTGATATAAGTACCTGTTATTGTTTTACATATTTACTGGGATGATTTCAGATTCCTTTATGCAGAAATTGTGACATAAATGAATATGATGCATGATAGATAAATGACATCAATCCAAGGTAATTAAACGGCACTGAACACTCACAATTCACAACGCACCGCCGCGACACACACCCCGCGCGGGTCAAGGCCGGTCTGCGGCCGTCCCGTCCCGTCCCTGTTCCTCTGGCGGCCCGCGGTCAGTGCCCCCGGGCTAGGGACAGCTCCGACCGCTCCGACCGATCGCTGTAGGTCACCGGCCGGTGACCGCGGGCGGACCCGACCGGCCGACCGGTAGCCATGTCTTGAGGTGGGTACAGTTATCCTCTTCACCCCCCAACCCCCAACCCTTACAAAAAACATACCTTCCTGCTAGACTTGCATCTCTGTCTCAGTGTCTCTCTTTCTTACTCTCTCTTTCTCGCCCTCTCAGGCACCCTCTCCCTCGCTCGCACGGTCCATAAGATCGATGGGGTTATTACTCGGTGTCTTACGTCTGCCATAGGTCTCCAGAAAGAAGAATGATGACATTGCCAGTAAATATCCTCAGTTATTGTCGAATGCCAACCGTGTCATCAGCCGTGGTGCGACTCCGTATGCCTACTTCTGTTTGTTCCGTTTCGATTTGCTCGGTTTCAGAAGCCTACTCGCTCGCATCAATAAATACGAGATGCCGTGTGTTCTATCATCGATTGCTTTCTTATAGCGAGGCCATCACCGTCCGCATGCTCATTAGGAAAGATTATCATCTGGTGCGCTTGTAGGTGCTTCTCTGATTAGATTCATCACTGCTTCAGTGATTTTCGTTGGTTGCTATTTATAGTTTACCTGGATAACTTCGAGCATCAGTAGCTTGATTTCCAGAACTTATTTCATCGGTCATATTCTTTCGATGCTCATCAAAACCATTTTCTGTTGTTTTTGTTTGCTCCGTGCAACGCAGTCACCGATTGCAACTGGGCCGCTGGCAATCGAGGTCATCCGGCGCGGCTCACCGCTGACGGCCGTGTTTTTGTCCGTCACACCGAGACCTACTTTTCCTCGGGCCCGGTCCGACTGCAACCAGACCTGACCTGTCAGTAGATGAACATACTGCGCCGCCGCCGCGCGCCGTCAGCTGCGCCGTTTTTGTCTGTGCGCCGCGTCGGCCGTGTTTTGTGCCCGGTCGCGTTTTTGTCGTGGCGTCAATAAAAACATGTCGACGCACCGGCCGCTCGCGCGCCGCCGCCGCCGCCGCCGCCTCTGGCGACGACGGTCCGTCCACCTGATGAGAGCGGTCAGTGACCACGGCGCATCGACACGGCCCGTCCCCTCATCGGCGACCGCCGCATACTCGCATAGGTATCGAGAGGTGGCGCGGAGATGAACGGCAGAAGGATCTGACCTCGGCCCGATATCCACGTCCACACTGCCCCTCAGGCCTCAAGCGTGGAAACTTCACTGCCGAAGAAAAAGTGAGAATGGTGTTCATGTTTACAGGTGTTGACGATGCATTCAGTAACAACCGAGAAACGGTATACAATAAGCCCGGATTTCGAACTGTTAGCGTTATCATTTGAGGACATGCTCGTTAGCAACAGGCCCGTGTTTATTAACTACTTGCACGTTTATTCATCAGATTATATTTATGTCGCTTGTGGTCTGTTGGTAAATAAATGAAACTTATACACTTTGTTGGTTCCTTCCGCTCGTCTGCCAGTCTCACAGTTGGTTACTATTCTATAGGCCAAGTATACTTAATGCAAAGGAATAGAGGGTCAGTGAAATTAATATAGCGCATTGAGGTTGTAAACCTTGGCTCATGTCCATAGTATGATGTAACGTCCTTTCCAGAACGCTTGTGTGGTGCCTTAGCGCCAAGCATCGTAAACAGGATAACGACCAAACTACCATTTCGCACAATCACCCCGGTCTTTACCGCACTTCCGTAAGCAAACAATTTAGCGTCACTAATGAATTTTGTAGTTTTGTGTTGTCATCTGTTTAAAATGCTTGTTTTCTTTGTTCATGTATCTTCGGCAAGTGCCAGGTATGTGTGGCATTCGGTCAGATACAATCGAAATAGAACGAATTAAATAACTGCGGCAGCATCCCTATAGCTGAGCCGTCCTTAAAATCCCTTAAAACCATAGCGAAGTTTTCACGTGTATTTACGATGCATCTTCAAAGTAAACACAAAACCACCATCAACACAGTCTTTATAAATCGAGTCATCAACAACTGACCACGCAAAAATAATATCCCATTCTATTTCATGTAGTTCATTTGCTTCTATCACAACATGGTAACTACATATTAGCCACGTTTACACTCTTGGGTGACTCAATCGGTTAACATACTCGCATTCTGTCAGGAAGATCAAAACAAGCATCTCTTATGCTCGAGGACATCACTCACACAACTCTCACACAATATTAATCGCAGCTTTGGCATGGGGACCGAGCACTTATAAGTACTGATATTATCCGGACCTGCGATCGGACCGAACACCCGCTCCGATAGGTCGTCAATCGAGGCACCTGAAGGGGGGGGCGCAAACCCCGCGTTCGTTGAGCACTAAGTCACATGAAAGCCCATCTACTTACTCTGTCCGTTCAAATAACGATTACCGCGGAACAGACAGCCTTGCCAACGCGAAACTGGCTCACTACTCGGAACAGATGGCGCTGTGGCCGGCCAAACGTTCCTATAGGTGTCGCCCCCTTCACCACGACGGCCTTTCAGAGGCCATCGAGGCCGGTCTCAAGGCTACTGCCGACATTAGACTAGCTGATAGTGGGTCAGACAAAGGTTACAAGCACTAACAGCACGACACTGGCAGGAAGAACTGACACCTCACTGATGAACAGCGCCAAACCCGGAGATAAATAACAAGGGACGGACGTCTATCATGGCCACAATAGTCTCACACGATAAGTAAGCTCGGTTATCGTGCACAACTTACAATACGATTAATTAAGTCACATTCCTGTCTTGGGCGACCAAAAAGCTCACCATTGGTAACTTGCAGAGCACACACCGCCGGACTGACGGTTTCCCGGCGCCGTTTGTACTCACTCGTACCATCACAGACCAAACGGGAGTCACCAGTACCACACCACCTCGCCCCGGCCGGCTCACACGGGCGCCCGCGGCGCGCCCGTGCTCTTCTCAAAAACCGTCCGCTTGTCGCGCACGATCCCCTCGGAGACGGGGACGCGCGGCAGCGGCCTGGCCCTCTGTCCTGCGGCCGGCGCGGGGTCCTCGGCGCTGCTGTCGAAGAGGCGCCGGCAGTCGGCCACCAGCCGGTCGGGCACCAGGGCGCGCTCGGCACGCTGCAGCCGCAGCCGGCCCGCTCCAGGCTCAGCCGATCGGCGGTCCGCTGCCGGCAGCCCAAACTCAGCCGCAGCGTCCGGCCGCTGGCGCCGCTGCGCTCGAAGTAGGCCAGGATGCGGCGGAAGTCGGTGGCGGAGCGCTCGCTGGAGCGCTCCGGGCGGCCCTCGGAGTCGCAGCCCAGACTGCTGACGTCGTCCGAGGAGCCCGTGTACACGGAGGAGGCCAGCGTGGCCAGCGAGGCGTCGTCGTGGCTACAGGCCGACCGCAGCGAGGCCGGAGACAGGTCGGACACTGACGCCCGCTCGCCCTCGCCGACGCTGCTGTAGAAGCCCGACTCGCAGGAGGCCAGTCGGCGCAGCGCCGGCGCCTCGGTGAGGGTGAGGGCGGGCGGCGGCCGGTCGCAGTCGGCCCGGCGGCCGCACACCGGACTGGCCGGCAGGCTGTGGCAGCCGACGCGGGGCGCCAGGACCGGCTCCGGGGCCGCCGCCGCGCCACCGGGCCACGCCAGCTCCAGACACGAGCTGTAGATGTCGGCGCAGACGGGCGGCGGCGCGCGGCGGCTCTGCCGGTAACGCTGCAGCGTGGCGAACGGACTGGTGGTGTCGCCGGGCCGGTAGGCGGGGTCGCGTGCCGCCATCTTCCGGGCGACGGCCAGCGGACCGGTGGCCGGCCGGCGCCGCAGGGTCTCCTGGCGCCGCCACGGCCGCCGGTGGAGGCGCGCCTTGTCACTCGGAGAGCAGGCCTCGCTCAGCAGCTGGTGAGCCAGCCGGTCCTCCCGCGAGCAGCGCCAGTCTGCGGAGACAGCAGCGCCACCAGCCGTCAGCGGGGACACGGGGAACTAGTGGTTCATGGACCCGTGGCACATGAGGGTGGTGCAAAACGACACTTATGGCGTGGTGAGCTAGTGGGTTCAGGGGTAATAAAGCAATAGTGGGTTGCTCAATGCTCAAGATCACGATAGCACACGAGGCTTGATATTCTTCGAGCTGCGGTTACAAAAGCAACAACAAAGAAGACTGCACCGTCAGGTAATGCCGAAAATCATTGTAAATATTCTGGCCAGAAATTAACGCTACCCATTCGGGATTGGCCAACGTTTGTTGTTCCGTGATGCGTGATATGCTCGTTCAAAATCGCATAAAAAGACAAGGAGAAAGAACCAGCACCTTAATGAGCTTATCGATGAGCGATAGGTATAAGAAACGATAGGTCAGCGTTTTCTGAGTGTCACAGTGATCATCAGAGTGCAAAAACACGACCCAGGGTCGTCTCACGTATCGTCCCACTCGTTAGATAACCGTGAGTGAGCGCTCTGAGCATCGAACAAACACTTCGCGGAGCATGACACCGAGATCTGCAGGATCATTCAGCATTTACCGACTACTCCGACTCCGAGATCCAACAATGTCAGCACACAGTACTGCAGAAAATCCCAACTCAAACTCTCGTAGTGCCTAATCCTCTCTACGATAGGTGACAGTGTGAAACCATTTGAGAACGTACGGGTAGTGGGTGCGGCTGCGGGGATGGGCCGGCGTGCTGCGTCCGCCTGGGGTCTCAGTATCGCCAGTAGCACCTCCAGCCTCCGCACCAGCTCGGCAAAGGACGGCCGGCTGCTGGCGGCGTGCTGTGGACAGAGAGGGGCAGACACAGTCAGCAGACGGCGGACACACCACACGGACAGGGGGTCGCGCCGCACAGCTGCGTCACAGTGGGTCAGGGAATTACACAGGTGTACAGAGACAGGTCCAGACGAGGCGATCGTGGGGGCACGCAGAACGGACAAAGGGAATGTAGGTGAGGCATGGCGAGGAACCGAAAGACATGCTTCGTTATCTACAAGTAAAACCATTATTGGATTTAATTGCTGTCCTTCGTGACTTCCTTGGCACACCCATTCAATAAACGTGATCCATAACAATCATAAGTGCAATGAGGAAACTGGACCACTTTTCTTGCTGGATCCATAAATAAGACTGTAAAATCGCCATAATACTGACCAATCACGAAATCATTACCAATACCCCCCAATCATAACTGATTTTGTCACGATCACTATCTATGCGTGACTTAGCATGACGCTATGATGCATGTCATAAAACCCGGGGACCGTCCCACATTGCTCTGTAACACGAGCCTACCCCACCCCGCTGATCGGTCAGTCACCCCCCCCCCCGTGTAGCCGACACCCCGCCTGCGCCTGACTATCGCGCGTTGGTCTGTACCTATCACACCAGTGACGTCTACTTCCCGGAGGGCCCCCGGCCGCCGCCCCGGCCGGCTTGTTTGCCTTGGACCAGCATCAACCCGCTGCACAGCCGCGATCCGCCTTCCTATCACCGCGATTCCCGCTTATTTTCCTCACAGACCAAACAGTGTGAGCCGCTCGCTGGCAGAGGCGCCAGGCGGGGGCGCCGGGCGGGGCGCCGGGCGGGGGCGCCGAGCTGGGCGCCGGGCTGGGGCGCCGGGTTGGGGCGCCGGGCTGGGGCGCCAGCGGGCGCCGAAAGACGCCTGGCAAGGCAACAACAAGCCCTCCCTCTGACTAACACACTGAGACGAGAGGGGTGAGTCACTGGGCCTGAGACGACTAATCCAGCCATCCAGATAGTGCTCTGGCTGATATAAACTACTCGCTGAGTGCAGCAGACTATCTGAAACTTCATTGTCGAAGAGAGATGAGAGATGCAAGGCTGTTGACTAGTTACAACGGTCACGAGCTGTCACTTGAACGGGAGAGCGTGGGCCTTGTGTTCAGGCAGAGAAACTGCGCCGTATTTTTTTATCTGAAGTGGGCACCATAGAGACACTGGGCGGTATTTGTCATAAGAACATTATTGCCATGCTCAGGGCACGCCGTATTATCTTCACTGAGGCTTATGAGGACAAGGCTAGGCACCAGCTTTATCGGATATAAATAGAAGCGAAGGGCATTAGGTGCAGATGCTGTGGCGTCCAATAAATAATGAAATCCTTCACATTGTCATCCACTGAGATACAGACACAAACAGGCGGGCGGACAGACAGACCGACATACAAACAAACATACAAAGGCAGATAGATTGCACAATGAGCATAGACAGGTTGACAGACGGACAGGCGTAGCAGACAGCTCGCACGCCGATCGACAAACGTACAGAGACTGGCATACTGCACATCGCCCTACACTGACTCGCCAGATACGAAACAGCACACCAGCCTCTACGGATCATACAACAGGTGAATATGCTGGCAGGCGCACATACAGAGACAGAAAGAATACACACATATTTCTCCCGCTGACCAGACAGCGCATAAATATTATGCTTGCAGGCACAGCGAGGCACGCCGATTGGACAGGACATAACCTTTCAGTGACTAGCCAGACACAGACACATTGCATCTCCCTCCACTGACCAGGCAGATACAGACAGCTCGTATACCCCTCCACTGACCAGGCAGACACAGACAACTGTTCACATCAGACATCAGAGTACATGTGTCTCCACTGACCAGGCAGCAGGTAAAGGCGAGCAGCAGCTCCAGGTCGCAGTCGGGTGGACACAGAGACGCGAACGCCACGTAGTCGACCCCGAACGAGGGTGTGCGCAGCAGGACGTCCGGGTCGGCCGAGACGCGTCCCACCATCTCCAGCAGGATGACGCCGAAGCTGAACACGTCCGCTCGCTGGTCGTACGGCAGGTTGGAGATACACTCGGGCGCCATCCACCAGAACGAGCCAACCGTGCTGAGACGGCTCGGTACGCTGTGGGGTGGTCAGAAGGGAGTGAGATTAGATGCCGTGCCCAGACGGCTCGGTACGCTGCGGAAAGAGTAGAGGGTAGTCAGAATGAGGGCCATACTCGTACCACATAGATACCAGGCAGACGGTTCGATAAACTGTGGGGGGAGAGGACGGCTGGACAGAAAGGAAGCCAGTCTCGGGGCGCTGTGAGGGAGAGGAGAGCAGGGGCCGAGACAGGCTGGTCAGGGAACGAACAAAACTCGGCGCTGGTTTCACTGACTCTATACTCTAAGGGAGGGAGGAGGGCGGCCCGAAGAGAGCGGACCAAACTCGGCTCCGGGTTCGCCGGCTCGATGGTACGCTGCGTGACGGGTGAGATATGCGCTGATGAAATGCGCCCGATATGTTAGGTGTCATGGCCGGTACAATTTATGAGGAGCTAGATTATCGTGAACTCCGCCGATAGGAGTCATTTGGAGCGCAACATATGTGTTTTAATTAAATTGGCCGCCGCTATACTCAGCCCTATTTTCATTTCACAACCAGAACTGGATGTAATTCGCTCAGAAAACTGCTCACAGCTGGTGAACTACCGGCACTTTACATATGGCTCGGTCCGTATTCAAAACCACGCCTGTTGGCGGCGGGTCTGATTAAGATTATGCTCTAACTATGCTGTGCTGTGGGACGGCGGGGCTCCCTTACCGTGGGTCGGGGATGCGCGCGGCCAAGCCAAAGTCGCCCACCACGGCAGTCAGCGTCAGGTCGTCGTTCCGCCGTACCAGCACGTTCTGAAACAAGGCGAGACGGGTACCCGGTCACGGCCGAAGAACAATTAGCCAACCATTCAAAGACCAACATGAAAGTAGTTGTACACACTGGTAAGACTTAGAAGCACTCAGGACAAATGAAAAGGAGGAGTGGGTGGGAATGACCAACTTTTCACGGACTGTAAACAGCGCACGTCCTGAATAGAGTGAACACGGTCTTCCAGTCACAACTGTTGGGACCGTGTGACGATGGCAGGTAGACATAGTGGGTCGGCCGGTGGGACTGTATGGTTCGTTACTGGGTGGGAACTTCTGGATTAACATGTGGTGGGACAATGTGGGAGGACTGATGGGACAGCGAGATGGCCAACGGGACAGTCCGGGACGGCTGATGGGACAGTATCTGACGGCTGATGGGACGATAAGCGGCCAGCGCTGCGGGCGGTGGGCGCGGCGCCGGATCAGTGCTAATGCCGGTCATCCAGGCTAACTGCGGGCGCCAGCGCACTCCGTTCCGACCGGGCGCGCCGGTCGGTGTACGGAGGCGACGTTTATGGCTGGACAGCCGTGTAATCCGACCGAAGTGGCCGCACCTCGTGATTAGAACAGGACCGAACCGGATACTGGCCGAGCCGGCCGGTCAGGCGGAGCGAATATGCAGGCGGCATGCCTAAAATAATTGTGACCTAAATTCAGAACCATCAACGAGATCGTAAATAACAGCTGTGTCAAAATTTACTTAACATCAGCGGAATCCGTATACCGCTGGCTATTTTGAGCGGCCCGAGAGCTATTTTGGCGCCAGCCGTCGGCGCCATTTTCGTTCGCCGGCTGTCGGTCGGCGTTCACCGATCCATCACACCCTTCATAGCACCTAGCCCGCCCCAGTCTCCGTCTATGTCTCCTCTCTCCATCCGCCAGGCCATCCTCACCGCGGGCTGCGCCGCTGCTCGTCTCCGTCACGGAGCAGTGCGACAATAACGGCACGCGCCCAGCGCCGCATTGGCCGCATCAGACACAATGGGCGCCGCACGCGAGCCTCCTCCTTTCGAGTGGCACGGTCAGAGCGAGGTGAGCGACCGGCGCCCGCTCTCATTGTCCGCCGCATTGGGCAACACCCACGCACGTGCACTGACGCGGCCGGCCGATAGATAGTGGCGCAGGCTAGGACGCGAAGTGCGATACCCAGGACATTATCCTCATGACGACGGCGACATGGTACGTTGACTGGACGCATATCACAGAAAGGACGATAGCCAAGACGTTGGAATGTGTTTTGCAGTTATTCATCCTTGCTCTTCCACAGCTGTCGTATTCTGGACACCAGCTAACGCAGAATGGTGAAACCCATATCAGCATTCTCCAATCATCTCCCCATCTGTCGGTGAGAAAGCTAACGCCTCTCTCCATATTACTTCCATCCCTTATCCCGCCATCTTCCATTGATCGGGGCAATCTCCGCCGTCGTAATCCTCCTCAGGCCTCACACCACCTCAGCGCAGTCAGCATTCCGCGTCAGCAGCTCAGCTCAGCCTCAGCGCTGACCAGCGCCCTCCCCCCGCCCGGTCTCCGGGAGCTCCTCCAGTTCTGAGACCGGCGCGGAGGCGGAGGAGGCGGCGGCGCTGCCAACGCCAGCTCACACTCAGCACCCGGCCAACGGCGTACCCAGCCGGGCGCTCCGCCAACCCGCCGCCCCCGAGCGTCGCGGTCGGCGGACCACACGACGTGACTCCCGGAGACGTAACGTGACGCGACGACCTCTGACGTCACGCGGCGGAAGTAACGGGACGTACACGTCACAGACGGGTCCGGAGCTCCCTCTGTGGCAGCTCGACGTCCCGACTATGGGTACCTATTATAGGTAGTTTACCCACAGCTCATGTTAGTTTTGAACCGGGGATCGTAAGCAATAATTAATAAGCGTCAGGAACAAAGTCGAACAAATATCCGTCTTGATGCAGTATGTGTCGAATGATGCCATGTAAAATTAGAATTAAGTTACCACGTCCTAGCCAATTTCATACCTTCGGCGTAATCAATCGTCAAAAAATCGTCAAGCAGAGTTATTCTAGAACAATTTCGGCAAACGGGGCAAACCGATGGCTTCGGAGTTCGGACGATTTCTAACGAACATTCATATCACAGTTGGGATGGAACTGGGCCGATATTGCCCGAGTCTGGCACCACTAATCTCGACCTTCCCGATTGGCGAGGCCGCCTTATCGGCCCATCGACCGGTCACAGAGCACCGAAGATAGCACCATCTCGGCGCCGACACAGCGGGCCGGCGTTACATTATCGTCACCAGGGCACCTAACGGGCGAGGGACAAAGTGGTCCGCCATTAAAAACGACACCATTTCTCAACGAGGGGTGCGTTCACTTTCACATTTTGAACCAGTCGCTGATTGGGTCTATTTTACATTGCTTTCATGAGGGCGACCGAACTGAGCAGCCCAATGGTGTCGGCATTGAACGAATGCCGCTAAATTACGAAATAGGTTTGACCTGCGCTGGCGACATGTCATGAATTCCAAACTGTTCTATGTATAACGGACCGTGTGCACTGAACCGTTCGATATCGCCGGTAAACCCCGAGGAGAAACCAGAAACCGTGGGGAGGGCCGGGGATGGCGCCGGTTGCGTCACAGCCCTGTGTATTTGTGAGGTCGCCGCGACGACCGAGAGCTCCGACAGATGTCAGCCGACGACGGGGTAAGGGTCAGAGGTGGTGACTCGACAGTCAGGTAACGCTAGGTCGCCATGTCAGGTTCCACGCTCCTCGTGCCAGGGAGGTGTCAGGGCTCCTTCCGTTCAGGTGATGTGATCTTTCTCGGATGTCTGTACTCGGTTGGCAGGGCGATACGTCAGGTTTTGCGCCGCTTGTCAAATCGGTAGCTGGAATCCTACCTACATTTGTCACCTTGTCAAGTTCTACCAGGATGTCAGGTCATACCTTCCTGATAAGCCGCCTACTAAGCCCTTCCCTTGTTGATAAAGGCGCCTGCTAAGCACCCATTCCTTACTTGGCAGAGAGGTCTCTAACCCCCATCCTGCTGTTAAGGTCTCCACTCCTCACCTTGCTGGTGAGGTCTCGGTGGAAGACCTGCTGGCTGTGAAGGTAGCTGAGCGCCTGCGCCATGTCCAGGCCCAGTCGGGTGCGCGCACACCACGTCAGTGGCTCCGGCGACTGCACTAGCTGCTCCAGACTGCCGCCGTTAATGTACTGGAAAGGCAGATACGACAACGGGTTAGTCGGCGAGAATGTCGCCGTAATGGCACACATAAGACAATAGACACGCTAGACGGAAGGAGAGTAACGCAATATACAGAAACAAACCGCACACCGAGTCACATGAAACACGCTCAAAAATAGCCTATCAATCGCAAGTGGTTTACAGTAGCCCTGATCTCCAGCAATCTAAGCGGAAATGAAAGACCATAAGACCAGTCGTCATCTGCAGAAAGACAGACTGATCATCTAGCTATCCAACCGCGCACTGTGCGAATCTCCGCCGTCATCCAGTCCCAATGGAAATCGATGCCGCAGCTGCCGATAGCGCTGCAGAAAGCCTCGACGTGTCGGTATCTTAGCCATCACCGGATGGAGGAGCCGCTCCCAACTCCGCGGTCTCACACCTGTCAGCGCGCGACACAGGCTCGACGGTTCACGAAATGAAACTCCTCCAGCGCGGCCAGACGCACGACAACTTGAGTGCGAGGGAGAGAGTGTGATGAAGAAACGGCAGAATGTTTTGGTTCGAGTAGCTGAGGCTGGTTTCGCTGGGTATTTCCCGTTCGGTATGTCCGGTGGATAAAAGAGTAGCCTTGACTTGCTTGAATCGATTGTCATGCAGTGAAAAGCCGCATCGAATCAATCATGACTGAGTGCGCTTTAGAGCACGAACGTGAATGGAGCTTTATGTCCACAAGCCAAACGGAAGGCCCTCACTTCAAAGGCAGGTTCCTTATGTGGATAACAACTGGCCCATATTTGCTGAGAAGGAAGACATCTACAATACAGAGACCCTGTCAAAAGTATACACATCCCTAGCCATCGGTCTTGGTCAAGAAGACCACATCCTCCTCCAGACATAAAGCCGTCTGCCGTGAGCTCGCGGCCCGGTGGCATGCATCCAGCCGCTGTCCACACTTGGTCCACACTCCACAGGCCTTCTGTCCCTCCAACTGCCCACAGGCGTCTGTCCCTCCTCTGCCCACACCACAGGTCGTCTGTCCCTCCGTCTGCCCACAGGCGTCTGTCCGCAGGCCTTCTGTTCCTCCGTCCACACTCCACAGGCCGTCTGTCCGCGGGCGCTGCGCTGTCGCAGCTGGCGGCGAAAGCTGCGCCAGCCCAGCCCGGCAGCGCGGCCGTCCGTCGTCCGTCCGTAGCGGGCCACGATTTTCGCGAGACCGTGCCGGCCGCCGTGCACGCTCCGCTGCAGAAGTGCCCGCAGCCAGCCGAGGGGAGCCGAGTGAAAAGTAAAAGGAGCGGTGGCCCGATCGCCCCCATCAGCCGCCCTCGCAGGGGCTCCGGTCCACTGCCCATAAAGAGCTCCGGCCCGCCGCCCCGCCGTAAGCACAACGTCTGACAAGTGCAGACAGCTCGGATGAAACGAAACACCGAGAGGGTAACCTGAGCGGGGGAATGCCCGCACCCCGATCAGGAGGCTCCGATGAGATGGTGTCTGCCTATCTCCACCGGGCTGCTTTGGTTTCACAGACGCTTGCTCGGTACCGGTGGTCGGCCGCCAACTGGTCGGTGATTTCGGCGCACACAATCAGGCGGCAGAAAGGCCAGGACAATGCTCTGTTCATGATTGCGGCACATGCCCAGAATACATACACTTCCTCCCATTTCCTGGCCGCCGCAAGACGCCAAGTGACAGTAATGGTGATTTATTTGTACGACCCAGTCCGCACCGCTGCTGGCGCGTCCAGGAGAGACGGCGCGGCGGCTGCCTTGGCGGCGTCCTCCGGCGGAACAGGCGCGCCGCGTTCGTCTCCGGTCTGGCACGGCTCGCCACAGCAGCCGCAGCGGGCCCACTTTCATTCGGCTGATGACGCGCCGTCCATCTGTTGTCCCCCGCCGGCTCGCTTTTTGTCGCGCGCGCGGTGGGCGGCCGGCAGCACAGCAGAATGTGGCGGGCGCGGCCGGCTGACGCGTCATATCTAGTTCATAACTTGCTCGAGATGACTGAGGCAGTTAGATCCATCTGCTGCATAGCTCGTAATTCAACTGAGCGCCAGTGGGCCGCTTGTGCAGCATGCACCCGAGCCGTCAGCGGTAACTCTCGTCATATGTCGCCGGCTGACGCGCCGCCAATCTGCGACCTCTCATGCCGAAACGGCACGGCGGCGCGACTCCGGCCGGGTAGACGTCATAAACCAGCCGCGCCGCCGCCGGTCTCATTGAATTCTTCATTTCCGTGCGGCCCGGGAGAGTCGGGCAGACTCGGAGAGTGGGTCGCGCTCCTGGCGGACATCGTTCCGGCGTGGGGTAGCTCCCAGGAGAGCGCCGACCCGCGGCTGGGAACTGGAGCGGCTCGCCGCGCCGCCACCAATCGACTCCGCCACGGACACAGACGAAACGCGGCCGTTATCCGGAAAACAGGCAGCTTCCCAGCGCCGAACGCCAAAAGAGGTCTCTTCTCGTCGATCGTTTTACAACCTTCAGTCTATTCTTGTGTTCCTCTAAACTGTAGCACACAGAAAACTCTCCCTGCATTCCTCCCCACTGTTTGTAGCACAGAGGAGCGAACGCGGGTTCAACCCCGCCCAGCCTTTGATAGCACTCTCACTCACGCGCCACGCCCGCCCAGTAACGACAGGTTCCCCGAGGCGCTGACCCAGAGGTGACCCGAAGCGTGACCCGGCGGTGGCCCCGCCTGGTGACCCCGGCAATAAACCGACATTGGCTACCGAGACCGGATGTGAAACGGCCTTCCGATGTGGTTTCCATAGCGTTCAGCGCACGACGTGGGCGGCCGGGCGGTACCACCAAACATTCTCTTCTCTCCATCCTGTCTCGATTGAAGTTCCACACCTATACGAATTCACTGTCCCCCTCCCGTTCGTTGCTCCTACCGAGGTTCCCACAGCTCAACCCTAACCTCCCCTCTAACCCGTCCCTTCCGGCCAGGACCGCCCCAGGTCACCACGGGAGCGGCTGTCCGCGCCCGAGCGATCGCGTGACGCGTCAGAGCGCCGCTGAATAATCCACTGATTGGTGACAGGAAGACGGAGCGCGGCCAGCCCGGCCGGACGCAGAGCGGCGCTCGGCTGACTCACACTCACGCACACATAGCTGTGGGGAGATCCGGGCAGAACGGGAGTGATGACCACATCGCAGATCCGGATCAGCGCTTACTTTACAAACTATAATCGACATGGACTCGGACAATGGCAACTATAGAAAAACCACGACATCGACGTAGTATAGTAGGCAAAGTTCGCAACTATTGTTGTCGTGTGAACACGTAATCGGCAGTAGTTTTCGCGCCTGCGAATTATATCATTCCAACATCAGTGGAAAACGAGGACAGCGATGATTAACAATTGTTCTACTGCGAAACGTGGATTAATAATGTTTGATAACAGTATAAAAGAAACAAAGACAACAGGTGTGCACTGTACAGAAGGCAACACATGTGCGGAAGACGGCGAAAGGTCTCTGGTAAAACCGAACTCGGGCGTCGGAACGGAAGGAACAATAGCGGACGGGCCCGGCGACATTGCCGGTGGACGAGTGCGGCGAAAGTGGCGCCGCGGCGAGTGCGGCGCACACGTCACGAGAGGACAATAGCCGGCGGCCGGAACGCACGGCACGCCGCGGCGAAACCGGCGCAGATTGAGCACCGGCGACGTGCAGTGACGCGAGCGTGACGCCACATGACGCGAGTCGGAGCGAGGGAAGTCCGAGGCAAAACAGAAAATCACTTCAGCTTCCACAACACTAGCCGAGATTTCAAACCAGCGCTGGGTCTCATAAGAACACGTTCGATGCTCATCCATAAATCAAGCGGCGCCGTTGTGTGGCCTTGGTTGCTGACGACATCATCAGGGATCAAAATGCTGGAGCGCGGACTCGGCTTGCTGCTTAGCTTTCCAGCTCACATTCTTGCCGACAATCACCTGTCGTTTCTCGGTCTTCAGACTTGCATCGAGTCGGCGAACGTGACTGAAATACTTCACCCTGCTTTCCTCCGAACCCAAGAACTCACGAAGCACGCTCGTCTCTAAGCAGTTCACCCGACACAAACACGGAGAAAAGAAACATGCTGCAATGAGGGCACCGGCGGCAGGCGCCGAAATCCGGGCCGATCTGTATCAGCTCGGCGCAGCACGCTCCACCCATGCTCCGTGCAGTGATCACCCATTGTTCTGCGGGGCGTTCAGAGGACGGCTCGGTCACAGGGAGCCACCGAGCGTGTCCCTGCGCCTTCCCGTCGTATGTCACGTGGGCGGCCCACAATCAGCCGCGCCGGATGTCAGCGGCGCTCAGCAGACCGGCATGTGATACGTCAGGTGACGCCGCGCCGCCTATCTGCCGTGTTATCTACACGTGTCCGGGCGCGGAGCCGGGGGAGTGCACGGCTTTACGATCCTCTGCTGACGACAGGAACGAGGAAAAAACGGGGCCGATGTGAATAATTACAGCGCAGGCTCAGCTGGAATGACCGTGTGGAGCAGGGCCGGGCGCCTCCCGGCCCGGAATCGGTCCATATTTCACGACTTTATTCACTATCATTAACACCGGATTTCTACCGGCTGGGTAAGAACCAGTTCACCGACAAACAATTATAAATCAAACACGACAGCCACAAACGAGCATGCCACTTATCGCCGTATGTGTGTCAACACCCTGAACATGAGCGCCTGAAGAAACGCACAGCAGCCGGCCGTCGCCCCCGGCAGTGGTCACCGTTCCACAGCCGGCAGCCGGCAGCAGCTGCTGCCCGCCGGCGGCTCTTACCTCTGTCAGCGCGTGCAGCTGGCCCTCGTGAACACAGACGCCCATAAACCTGCAACAGAACAGAGCGGAGATATGTCACGGAGGAGGCCCGGTGGCAGCGGGCGACCGAGCACGACAGGGCACGAGCACGCCGGTGAAGGACGGCATAGCGTGACCTTGCCGAGCGCGTGCCACCCAGTGACAGGTGCGCCCGACCCACGCGGGCGGGCCCACCCCAGACGGCACACAGCGCCCCGGCGGAATCTACAGAAGTCACAATGGTTTACCGGCCCAGGAGACATGCTCGATCTCGCCTGGCTTCTATAAAGTCTGATAGAATCAGACACCCTGGCGTGTTCGGCAGATCTATCAGGAGTCGCCACAGGCAGATATGATAGGGCGATAACACGGAAGGTCACGGGTGGTAATAATAACACACAAAATGACATGATATATCCCAAGGTTGACAGGCGTATTACCGACCTATCAGGGTGCATGGTAACCATAAAGATAGGGAACAGACATCTGGGCTGATACAGCAGACACCTGGACTGACACAGACTGTGACACAGGCTCGGACAGCAGCCGGCTGAGTGCGGCACCTTGACACGGGCTGACACGCCGGCCTGTCACAAGTCACGGTGTCGACACCGCACTCCGGCGAGCGGCGCCGGCGCGGCGTCACGCTTTCTCGCGCGCGCGCGGCGCAGAAAGGGCCGGCCGGGTGGCGATTCGGCCGTGCCTTGTTTCCAGTTGACTGACGCCGGCTCCTTAGGCAAGCAGCCGCCAGCAGACTTTCCTAAAATACCCGCCAATAAAATGCACGCTAACGATGATGATAATAAGTTTTATCACGACTCCTACACAGCGAGACTTGATGGTGAAATGGGCTTTCGCTTCCATCCCACATGTTCCGATGTTCGATAACACCTTTGGTACAAAAAAGGTTATGAAATTATAAATCATCCATAAGCGAGACCGGCGTATTTACAACCATCTAACTTACGGCCCCGCCACGGTTTTTCCTAATAAAAGTCTGTCCGAGCAGGCGACGGCGACGCCAGCCACAATCACAGGCCAATGCCACAACTGTCCCCAGAATCGATACGTGATTGGTGGCTGGGCCGCGTGACGTCAGCAGCCGGGTCATAACCTCCGGAGACAGTCTCCGTCTCGGACAGCGTTCCTGCCCCTCCCCCCCCCCCCTGCTCCCAGTCGTGGCCCGAGGCCAAATAACGGCCGGCCTCCCCCGGTCCTCTCCGACGCGGTGGGGGGGGGGGGGGCTGCAGAGGACGGGAGACGGACAGAGAGGTCAGATCGGACGGTCGTCGGCTTCGACGAACTGATCAGACCGGGAGAGCAGAGCAGCGGAGAGGGGCTGAGTGTCGGCTCGCGCGCCAGCTGACGCCCCCCGTCCTCCGGGCGGTGGTGGGTATTGCACATATTGACGGCGAGAGGTCGGATCACAGCTGGAGCCATCCGCCACGCCTGTCCGGTCTGTCCGTCTGACAGTCGACACGGTTATACTGGCGCCTGGCTGCTGATCGCCACTCCGCCTGCTGCGGGGGCTGGGCTGTGGCGCGGCGGGCCTGGAGCCGGGACTGAGGGGGCGGAGGCATGCGGCCTGCAGCCTGCACCGTTGTGTGTGTTTACTGGCACACGGCCCGGGCGGTAGCGATCCCGTCCAGACTCCTCGAGAAACTGGCTCAGCCGCAGCCGTTAGCCAATTTTCAATTTCCTCGCCTCAAAACACATGGTGGTCAGAACCGTAAAATGCCATTTTTCAACTAAATTGTAGCCTACATCCACGCTTCAGTCGTATGGTATCCGCGTGACATCAAATGTGCAGGCAATCGAAAAATGCGTCATCACCGTTCGGGCGCGTGCGGCAACGTCTATAATTAGCAGTATCATTACGCACTGGATCATCGCCATTTAAAAGCCACTTAGCTCCGCCGCACGCACCAGCAGCCCGTGCCGTTCACAAATGGCCACCACCACAACCCAAACTAAACAAACCATTAGAAAGTTGTCCGCTGATTGCCAGGTATCATTAGTCGGAATTCGGTGGCGGGCGCTTCCCAGGCACACTGAGGGCGGATGCAGAGGCCAGGGACAACAGAAAGAGCATGGCGACGACTCGATGACATCAGTGTCGAAATTCAGCTGTAAACGATCTAGATCATTCCCATTCCTCTCACAATTATTTCAGCCCAGCTAGCGGTACGTCTAATCTCGGTCATTTGTCTAAAATCTTACACGTAGGTAAGGGAATGACGACACTTGTCCCGTTACATGCCGTAGCCGACTCTTGCACTGTTGGCACGTTACAGCCGCCGCAGTCGGCGTTTCTCGCTGTTCAGTGTTCTGTTCAGCCCACGGCCTTCACCGAGATATATCACAAGAGATATCCACCAGACGGCCGCCGTATGCCCTGAGGCTAGCTGTCGGCCGGCCGCCGTATGCCCCGCGGCTAACTGGCGGTCCGCCGGCCGGCCGCCGTATGCCCGCGGCTAACTGGCGGTCGGCCGGCGCAGTGTGCCCCGCGGCTAACTGGCGGTCGGCCGGACGGCTGCATACATCACCCTATATGGCAGCTCTCCATCACAACTGCAGGCGGCCGGAGTGCGCCGCTCTGGGGCTGCAGCGCCGCAGTACAGAGTATCAGTCAGTCCACTCCGGCTGGAGCTGGAGCTTAGAACAGATTCAACTCGAAAGGAGCTTTGTTCCAGACTTATGTTACATCGACTCGAGACCAGAATGAGAGCGAAAAAAAAACTGCGATACCGAGTGGTATGAAAGAAAAACTAATGGCAGACGGAACGCTATTCTTGGAAATGAATTGAGTAGCCTGAGAGGGTAAGTTAACCCTATCGTTTCCCCGGGCAGTTCACAGAGCTATTACTGAGGCGCTACTGCATTAGGTGTTCGCCGTTTCATTTCACGCCCACCATCCGCGCCACCATTAGCCCAGAAAGGCGCTGCACCCTTTCCCTCTCTGGTCACGCTCCATGGACCGACGAGGGGCGCGGGCGGCCGGCGGCGGTGACCTGCCATGACCTCCGACCTCACTGGAGTCAGTCTCCGACCGGTGAGACCCGGCCCCGGCCCAACGACCTCCAAACGGCACCCGGTGCACCAGTTCTTACGCCCCTGTTACTCCATTCACGGCTAAACACTTGTGTATAATTTGTTTTAATCACTTCATAATGTGATAATAACACTTCCAGGTCAGCTCACCCTGATAACGCCTTCCGGTGCAGCTTGACCTCTAGTAAACTGCCGTAATGGCAATAAGCCGCTGCCCAATGAGCCGTCAACATAAGGTCAACACTAGCGTCAGTCGGCGGTGGCGAGAGCTGTCACCATCTGACAGTGGCAGCAGTGAGCTGTCACCATCTGACAGTGACGGCGCTGGGCTGTCAGGAACTGTCCTCAGAAGCCAGGGCGCTCGGAGCGCACGGCTCGACGACAGAGTTTGAGGGGCTTCACCGGCGGGCTGTGACGTCACGGGCGGGCCGATCCGCCCGCGGGTGGGGAGGGGCGGCGCACTGATCAGGGGCTCATTTCCTCCTCAGAAGGTAGGTGCTCAGCCGGACGCGGGGCGTCAATGATGAGCCCATGGAGTGGCCCTAATAGCAGGCCCACCCATGGGTGGAGTGGGCCACTCCTCCATCAAAACAGCCGGCGCCGCGGAAACGGCGGACCGGCAGGGACCAGTTCCCGATCGAAATATCCTGCCTAGGCGCACCTTTACCGACGTTCCACGACTTATCTCGTCTCAAAGGGCTTCTGTAAGTAGCTGCGTAATGCCATATAGGTGGATCGCGCGGGCGGCCGGCGCCGGCGCCAGGCGCGGCGGAGCGGCAGTGGGGCAGAGCAGACAGGGTCGGCAGGGTCGACTGGGCGGCACGGTTCGGCACGCACACGGCGACCGGAAGCGACGCGGTCGGCCCGCGCTGGCCAAGGTCGCCGCGCTCCGCCGGCCGGCCGCCCGGCCGTCTGGCCCGACCAGCGACCCCGTTCGGCCGCCGGCCGGCTCCGGCAGCCTTGTGAAACGGCGACCTGACCCGGCGTCCGGCGCCCGGGTCAGTCGCCGTTTCACAAGGCTGCCGGAGCCGGCCGGCGGCCGAACGGGGTCGCTGGTCGGGCCAGACGGCCGGGCGGCCGGCCGGCGGAGCGCGGCGACCTTGGCCAGCGCGGGCCGACCGCGTCGCTTCCGGTCGCCGTGTGCGTGCCGAACCGTGCCGCCCAGTCGACCCTGCCGACCCTGTCTGCTCTGCCCCACTGCCGCTCCGCCGCGCCTGGCGCCGGCGCCGGCCGCCCGCGCGATCCACCTATATGGCATTACGCAGCTACTTACAGAAGCCCTTTGAGACGAGATAAGTCGTGGAACGTCGGTAAAGGTGCGCCTAGGTGCAGGATATTTCGATCGGGAACTGGTCCCTGCCGGTCCGCCGTTTCCGCGGCGCCGGCTGTTTGATGGAGGAGTGGCCCACTCCACCCATGGGTGGGCCTGCTATTAGGGCCACTCCATGGGCTCATCATTGACGCCCCGCGTCCGGCTGAGCACCTACCTTCTGAGGAGGAAATGAGCCCTGATCAGTGCGCCGCCCCTCCCCACCCGCGGGCGGATCGGCCCGCCCGTGACGTCACAGCCCGCCGGTGAAGCCCCTCAAACTCTGTCGTCGAGCCGTGCGCTCCGAGCGCCCTGGCTTCTGAGGACAGTTCCTGACAGCCCAGCGCCGTCACTGTCAGATGGTGACAGCTCACTGCTGCCACTGTCAGATGGTGACAGCTCTCGCCACCGCCGACTGACGCTAGTGTTGACCTTATGTTGACGGCTCATTGGGCAGCGGCTTATTGCCATTACGGCAGTTTACTAGAGGTCAAGCTGCACCGGAAGGCGTTATCAGGGTGAGCTGACCTGGAAGTGTTATTATCACATTATGAAGTGATTAAAACAAATTATACACAAGTGTTTAGCCGTGAATGGAGTAACAGGGGCGTAAGAACTGGTGCACCGGGTGCCGTTTGGGGTCGTTGGGCCGGGGCCGGGTCTCACCGGTCGGAGACTGACTCCAGTGAGGTCGGAGGTCATGGCAGGTCACCGCCGCCGGCCGCCCGCGCCCCTCGTCGGTCCATGGAGCGTGACCAGAGAGGGAA